TTGATTGGGTTTTGATATCTCAGATTTTGAAAGTGCTACATGCAGAACTTCTCTAAAGAAAAATTGACCTGCCATTTTGGTGTGTGTTTTTTCCGGACCCACCCCGTACAGTATAATTTCAATATATCGTTCTTTTAAATAAACAATTATTTACCACTGAACCAGTTTGTTATTGAAGACTTTCCTAAGGCCTATAGATACTATCTTTTCGTAATCTTTTTGGTCTTATTTACGTCAGTCCCATCTCCGGCCACACTGTGCAAGCAGCCCCAGCCCCCCCCCCCCTTCCACACGCGCTCCATCCACCCATGTGTGAGATCCACCTGCCCTGTAATCCGGCCAATTCTTGACGCATTTTCACGCACGTTTGGAGTCGTCGACTGAATTAATTCATCCTGGCTTTGTTCATCTGTTTTTCTTTGACGATTTCTTGGTCAGATAACGTGGTCAGAAATATCCACCCGTCTCCGTTTGCTATGGTATAGGCTTAATACCCTGCGAGTCTAACCGATAATATAGAACTGGCTGAATATTTTGTTATACCCCGTAAATGTCAAGATCAATAATTTGAGGTATAGTTGCCATACTTCAGATTGGAATCTCACTTTCCTTTGAAAGTAATCTTTCGGGAAAAGATGACAGATTCACTTGAATAATATATTTTTAAAAAAATAAAGGCTACTCTTGTATAAAATTGATTAACCTTCATGTTTATACACATTTTTTTTTATATATATATTCACAAGCTTGAACCGTTGTACGATTAGCCAATTCGCCAAAAAGAATTTAAAATGATTTTTTTTATTTGAAATTAGGATTGTTTTTCTAATTTGATGATCATCAGTTTCACAAAGTGAGCGAATTAATCGCCTGGAACGGGATTTCGAACCAGCGATATCTCCGACATACTGCAATAACTGGGGTACCCAACCCTGTTTCTATGAGGGTTGGATAGCTCAGATGGCACGGTATTCGGGAGATCGCAGGATCGAACCCCGCTGAAGTCGATTTTATTGTTCAACTCTATACTGGCAGATGGGATCATTTGCTTTTCATGCATTTTGTTCGTTTCCAATAATAACACCAGTCAAAATCCAATGAAGAATGCTCAAAACAAACCTGTGAAAGCTTCAGCTCAGTCGATATCACTTTCACGAGAAAACAGTTACAAACCGTGCACAATTTTTTGATCACGAAACACGATTTCGTCTATATAACTCTTTATTCCAAAAAAAATCAGTCAATTGACGGATTGTTTGAAATCATACATTTCTTGATTTCTTCTATGATCTAAACGACACAAGCCAGACGGAATATTTTCACGGGATGTCTGGTACCGTACGATCTTTAAACAAGTAAGCTGTGTAACTTTTTCGATAAATGAATATCATGTGCTTTTATTACGTGGAGTCGAGTTTAAGTAAGGTTAGGACAGAGTTAAAGTTTCAAATTGGGTTAATCTGGTTCCCTGTCCCCATTGTCCTCCGAGCTTCAAGATATGGGGACAGGTAACTAGCAGTGAATCCTGAATACATTAGGAGGCTTTCCTCCTAATGTATGCAAATTATATGCATGACGTGGATAGGTCTGAATCCTGCCTCCTGATATGCATTCAAAATCACAAGGGTAATGTTTGCGTGCAACCAGCCTATTGCAACATATTGCAACATATTGCAACATGACAATAGGCCACGAATGCACAATTTCGGAAGTCATGAGCTTCGATTTTTCCAACTTCGAAAGTGTCTCTGGCAAATATCAAAGACATGGGCATTACTGTTCAGTATTTAAAACCTATGGATTTGAAATGCTTGGAAGTTGCCTTCATGGAGACACTGGCAATTTTGCGTACTTTTCGTGGTACGACAAGAGTTTGTTTTGTGATGACCATGTGTTCAAGCATGGAGGAATAAGAACACAAGTATGGTCCATGCACAAGCTGAATAGTGATTCAAAAATAAACAATTGTGCTGCGCGCGCAGAGGTCATCCAACCAATGACTTTAAACGGGAGCTAGCTACCCGTCCTCATATTTTTAGGGGGCGGGAAACAGTCTAAAATTGGGTCAGAGGTGGAACTTTTGTGAGGATTTTGCAAGGGTACAGCTCTGGTTTTAGAGAAGGTGGAAGTCATCGTTGTTGTGGTCGTTGCCTCTCGTTGTCGTGGTCCGATCCGTCGAAGTTGCCTCGTCGTATACCTGTCTGTTTTATGGCGTTTTGAGTTTGCACTGCGGACATATTGTAGTAAAATTAATGTGATATCTGCAATCGTATTTGTCACATTAATCGGTATCGATCCCATGCGATATCAATGTAACATCGCACTCTCATTTCTCCTCGTCTTCAATGTGGCATATCCCGTCTCGTCAAAATAGTCTGTTCCCGTAGGCACTGTATAACATTTCAACAGACTTCCTCAGTCCGTTTTGGTGATCTGCTGCACACGCCAGAAGACCCAATCTTACTTGATTTCCTAGGTTCGCGCTGCGTGTTTTCCATTCCCCCTCACACATTAAACCAGCGTTTCTAACATGGCGCATCGAGTGTCCGTACCAGGTTATAGCACTTAACATTATATCCCAACAGAGAAGTCGGCCGAACTCGCCGTAGGCCCATAGATATTGCAGACACGTTCACATAGATGCACGTGTGTTGTCACACGTACAGAGACACTAGCTCAGGTTTGAGACACACACACTTCTCTTTCCCTGAAGACGATTTAAAAGCTTCTGACCCAAACAACAGAAAAATGGCACTGAATTTTGATTGAAAATCTGATAGGATTTCTGGAGCCTGAGAACGACCAACAATATCGTGTTTCGAAATCCCATCCAGTGTCCCTTCCCTAAAATGCACGTTCAACTTGATTGCACGTACAGCACAACCATATACCTCCCAAATTTCAAAATGATTTCCAAAAAGTAATAAGCTGTGATCTTTTTTTTATGAGGTCAGAACAAAATTCGATCTTCCTCAGAACTGAAGACTATAGTGAGGTCAGAATGATAGTCACGTACAAACAGTGAGGTACATGTTTTTGCACTGGAACAGAAAGCCTGGAGAACTATGTTGGCATAGCTATACGGTTGCTGCATGTTATTTGAGTGCCCTTGTTGAGTATCCTCCGATTCTTTTCAGAACCACACATACTCACAAAAGAGATTTTGCCACATGGTGCTACCGCAACAACTTACCTTATTGCATTTTACTGTTCCCCGCTTCCCCCTAATTGTCAATGGTAGAATCTGCTACAACAGAAAAAAGATACTTATTCTTTCCTTATACGTACACTGATTTTCCCCCTCCCTCTCCCCCTTCCAGTCCTCCCCCTCCCACTAATGAAAAAGTCCACAAAATCGATTTGGCAATGGACGACGTGCCCAAGACAGCAAAATGGAAGTCATCACAACAGGTGTTTCAAGTTAGTTAGAATTCTTTACTCATATTTTCGAAATCTCCATGTCTGCCTTTTTTTTGGGGGGGGGGTCTTGATCGGGTCTGTGTGACTCACCATTGTCTGGCTCGTATGTCTTCGCTCGCTTTTGTGTGGCTTTGTTAACAAATCAATGCTGGACGTAGGCTCCCTCCATTTACTGTTGAGGGGCCCACCTCGCTAAAACTGTTTTGGGGGTTAGCTCGTGATATTTTTATGACTTAACATCATTTTACCACCCCTAAAAGAAGTAATGAATTTCATCGCCATTTTGAAAACAAAACCTCCCTCATTTTATTTCGTTTTTTTAATAGAAGCTTTACCTTTCAATCAGGGTTGTTCAAAATCAAAATTTTGTTTAATCTAAAGTATCGGACGTTATGTATCTGTCCGCCACCCCCCCCCCCCCCGATCTGTTAAGTGGAGGGCAATCATGAGGGATGGTGTAGGCCTTCGGAGAAAGAAGGTACAGATGCACCTGTCCAACCTATGCGACATCAAATCAATCAATTACAGTGTTAACGAGCGATAGGACGCAACAAAAGTTAACCAAAATTATACGGCGCTGAATCTAATATTCTTTAACCTCGTGCCAGAAAAAAAGGTCTAACTCGTTATTTCTTGTTTAGAAACATTGCCCTGCGTGAAAGTGCCACCTCCTGATGAGGTAAAGCATGGACAATCAAATCTTCATTAAGCTCTCTGTGCAGATATGAAACTACAGGTTGTTTTCAATGGGGCTTGTAACTCGGTATAATATAAACCACGAACTAATCAGTTTTAAACAAATTAGTGTGGAGGCGAGATGGAGTGAGTCCAATGATATAAACAACTGTATTCAAGCAAAGAGCCTGTCGCAGCTAGCCTTGAAAATGAGTGACGTATACGTACGAATTGCATCTCAATATATTGCTCACGACCCCTTCGTTATTCTAAAGAAACAAAACTCCACTCAAAGAAGCTACCTTCACCCTAGGTGGCGGTGCCTTATCCACTCGACATCTAACGTGAGATGCCAACGGAAATCGATCCCTATTAACGCGTTTTGCTTTATATAACAATCGAAATCTTACAGAAATGTCAATACGTAGGAATCTATAAATATGAGTCTGTTCCAAATTGTTTGCAATTTCTGCAAAAACATTTCGAAATGGGATATCAGAGTGGGATTTCAATGAAAATAGAGTCTCAATGACTTATCAATGCAAAAAAATATACAGTGCAAATATATTGCACAAATATGAAACCGAAAATTGTCCGCTTATGGTAAAGAAAGAAACAATTGATGTACATCAATTTACAAATGCGTTAAGGGATACTTAGCCTATGTATCCCTTCCAACACGATGTGAAGTCCATAACAATATTTTTTTTTACATAGCCCAACACTAACAATAGTTGAGTGGGAAGAAGGGGGTATCGTGCACCCTCGGAAATCAACTTCTAATCAACGTCTCTAGATCAGAAAAATGCGTAGAAAACGATTTGCTATGTTAAAAAATTCAAAAAATTTCCCACGTATTATTTTTATGCAAATTAGTGCCGCCATTACCGAAAAATCATGTTTTTGGCAAATCTCGGCCAATATAGCACATAACTACACAAGGAAGGCGTCTAACCCATGTTTAGAGGGTCAAGTATCATTAGAAGACCATTCACTGGCTAAAAGTCGAATTTCTGGTAAATCGGCACTTTAGAATTTACATATTTACCTGCCTAGGATACACATAGTTACTTCGTGAATGGTCTTCCGTCTCGGAAAGTTCACGTGTGACTTGTTATTCTCTATCCTCACATATCGCCCACGCCGACTTCCTTGTTGTTGGTTCTTCTGAACTATACCTTAAACATCATCAAATTAAACATTGTGTATTCGCTCAGGCTTCCACAAGGCAACAAGGCAATGGAATTAGTAATGTCACAAATTGTTCGGAATATCATCTGAAATTAACGAAATGGTTGTTGAATTCCAAAACCGCCAAGGAATGGCCACTAATGTGTAAACTGCATACACAACAGTTCGTCCTGAACAAAGAAATTCCGTAAACAAACATAGGTTCGTTATAGTACTCAAGGGTTGAAAAAATGTTCTAATCTCGATTAAGTTTATTCGGAGGAAAAAGGAAAATGTTAAAACCTCATCAGCAAAGAGACCAACATCACTGAGTTTACAGTCAGTGTTGTTTCGACGTTTGATGAACTATAACTTTCAAGTTAAGGTTTCCTATCAGCTGCTGTTCTTTCTCCAGTTGAAGGAATTGTACAACTATAAATTAACGACAGGTATACAAAAAGCTATGCTGGTCAATGAATGTATAGGCCTACACCACGGGATACTAAAGTAACTTAGTCTATTTTAACAACAACAAGTTATTTTGTTCATCTGGTCTAAATACGACTGCGATATTCAGAGATGCATTTACTCCATGTAAATGTATCATAATAGTTGCAGTTAGCTAAATCTATAATGTTGGTGAATTATGTATAACAGAAACGAACTGTGTAGTTAAAAAACAATAACAATAGTTAATAACATCGTTTTCCCAAAAAAAATATTATAAAAAATTTAGCTAATAAAATTTGAGTTAAAAATTAACTGAATATAATTCGAGCAATAATCATAGTTATTTTGGGGAAAACGATTGTTAAACTCCATATACATTTGGCTATATCCACTCCCCTGTGCAAACTTATGATACGTTTCCAAGGTAACGGACCAAAAAGCCCATCGCCGTGCCACCAGCAAACATGGCTGGAACGGTGACTGTGGAGAGCGCCATCATGAGGCCGAAGCCAGACAGGCCGTGTCCGCTGTCAAAGAGACGAATTTATAAAGGTGAATTCTTCACAATTTCCCAAAGGATATCGGGGTATATCACAAAAGATGGAGATGAATTTAAAGTAGAAAAATTGGAATAGTCCTATCAGACCAATTCGTAAGACAAGGTGTTACATTAGACATAGGAATTGCTTCATATTGTGTTCCATATTTACCTAGTACATCCGCCTGCCATTCGGGCTCCGTACAGCATCAAGGCCCCACCCACAAAGGCGGCAGTGGGCGGTACCCCGCCAGCCACGCCCAAGGAACTGGAAGACATTGCTGATATGTACGCTCCGCCAACTGCCCCTAGTACAAACAACACCTAAAGCAAATAATGTAACAAAAAAAGAAAGTCATCAATTGGTTTATATCGAAATTTGAAAGAAAAAAGTCCGTCACTTGGCTTCATGTATAATAATAATATCTCTGTCCGTAGCTTCATCGCAAGGGTATTTATTCTTGACCTTTCCGAAGATATTTGGAAATCAATTAGAAAATTATTATTTTGGAATTCCCTTTAGTAGTTCAATACGTTTTATTATTTTCGTTCTTACTTAATACCAACTGAGTTGAAGAAAAACCACCGTACCTGCCACCAGTTGTCGATACCCCGTTTGTACTGCGCCAAATACGGTATCCTCTGCTCCATATTCTTGGTGACTAAAAACTGTGACAATAGGGTGCAGAAACTCTGACTTCCCCCCACAGTGTCCCCCACCGTGAATATCACAGGGACTTGCAGCAGACCGATCAAAATGCCTGGAAATACATTATATGCAAACAATAGTACATGTATTTTTAATATAATAAAAGAAAAGAAGTTACATTTAAGGCGGCCGGAATTTTCGGCTCAAAAAAATACTTCTCTTTTGGGGGCGTGTTTGCTACCTGGCATTCCCTACGATATATTGAAACCGATAACTGACGATTTGAAACCAAATCATTTAAAGATGTACTGTCTGTGCTGTTAACGTTTTCAACCCCCCCCCCCCCAAAGTAAATGTTATTTTTTTCAGGCAATACAAAAGTTTTTCTCCTTTGAGTGAGACATCGAACAAATTAAATCGGCCCTCGTTTGGTTATGGAATAGCTGCTTGACTTTTTTTTTTTAATAATGTGTGGCCCGACGATAATTCAATCGTCGATGGGTGGACTGGTTCCCGGCCTCTCTCAGAATCGAGAATTTAGGGACAGCGAACCAGTCTACTCACAGGGCGGATCTGTTTGTGCGCAGATTGCAACCTAAAATAAAAGCCCGTTTATCACAAAGTTGCAGACAACGAACAAAAATAGACAAAAACAGTGGGGGGGGGGGGGGGTTGTTAAAATAAAAATATACATGATAAAATATCGCGAGGAGAAAATAAATTCATTGAAAGGCACGGACAGTGCGTATTTTAAAGAATAAAGAAAATAGCTTTCTGGGGTTATTTCTTTATGGATATCTTCCAGATTTCGGCCAGCCTTCTTTAAACAGTTGAAAGCATACAAACATACATTGGGTTACTTTTAACTGTGCACGAATTCAGGTACTCAGAACAAACTTGTACTCTACCTGACATGTATGGCGGCCACGACCGTTGCGATAGGAACGAATCCCCTGATCCCACATTCCAACCCTAAACACAAAAACAAAAGTTCATTGTAAACAAAAGTAGTCATGATGCATGGCAACACATTCTCATGCATGATGTTTCAATCGACAGAAATTAGTCGGTACCGAAACTCCATCCTAAAAGTTCACTCTAAGTTGAGTCCACCATTTCCGAGTCCGATTCCGAGTCCTGTAAATTTGAGTCCGATTCCTAATCCGAACTTGAGTCCACTCTGTACAAAGAAACGTATTCAACCATGATAGCTTAATTAACAAAACCGGGTTCACATTAATTGTACTTGGAGTGTAGGCCCATGCTTTCGGTCAAAATATTTTGGTCTCAACATTGACTTGAATTGTCGAAGTTAAAGTCCAAAGACCGTTTTTTCGCTGCCAGACTCGAAACTGCACAAATAAGTGTACCAAAACATTGAGGTTTTTAAAAGTATTTTTTGTTTTACCTTATATTCAGTTTGCCATGGAAACAAGGATTCGAAGATGAAGACAACAGATGACGTCAGTACAGCCGTAGTGACGCCTAGCAGAGGGTACGGGATCCCTAGGTACCGGTCCACTCTACAGATTCAGGAGAAGTGACGAGGACAGACAAATAATAAACAGCAAAAAATGTACCGGTAAGATTTGAAGGTTTGCATGGTAAGGCCACACCAATAAGATTAAGTCTCCTATCGACGGGCGGAGCATACTGTCCGAAACGTTGAGTTTCCCCGGTTCTTTTTAGAACCTCACAGACTCAACAAGAAGATTCGTTACAAAGTGCAACCGTAAACTTAATCTTATAGCAAAAATGGAGTTTTTACCCAAAAATACCCCAAAACAGTTACATTGGCAATATTCGTTGATTCAAAGATGAGGTTTCACGTATTTCACGAAGCATAATTGCACAGATTCGAAATAGGGCATGTGTGTATAGGTGGATCTAGCTTTCTGGAAATGCATTGAGGCGCGGGGGGGGGGTATTCGGAGTGAAGGCGTACGCCTGCATAGAGAGTCTGGGAGCATGCCCCCCCCCCCCCCCCCCATTCTAAGGCAATTTGAGAATACACTTAGGAACTTTGAGTCAAATTATTATTATTATCGGCCCCGTTTTACTATATAGTATAAAAACATTAAGCAGCTGAACGGGACCCCCCCCCCTCCACGCTAGTGTTTATATAGAATCTCGGTCATTACGCATTAATGTTAATACTGGTGTTATAATGGTTTTGGGAAATATGCACTTTTAAAATACCAGTTGTATAATATATTGTGCTGGGGGACTTCTACTGCTGACCTCCAACCACCCGCCCCCCAACACCACAACCCCGCCCCACCCCCCAAAAGGGTGTGGTTGGAAGGGTGATCGGCTCTGATAGCTCACTCAGCCGGCTGTGCAATTTGGTCGGCTCCAACTTGCTCCGAGGGTACAGGCCTGCAAATCGACTCCTGTAGATCTCAGTGATAATTACGCGCACTTCCAAAAATTACACATGTATAAAATACTCACAACTCTCCAATGTGTTTGAGACACCCATCAAATTGAAGCTTATTTCATCTTCTTTCATTTTCTGTTCAATTTTCGGGTGGTAATTCCAGGACTTGTTGGAGAAAAATTCATCCAAGGATGATCACCCCTAAAAGTAGTCCTGTGGCTCATCACCATTTTGAAAAATGATGCCTGCGCTCCATTGCAAAACAGAGCAATTTTAGGCCAAAAAAAGAAGTCTCCGGTTTCTGGTATGGATCTTGCCCAAAAAGTGGTGCGGCGACGTGGCTCTTTTTTTTTACCTAATTTTTTTGCTTCAAATGTCGGCTGATGACTGCAAATGGTGCCCGACTAAACTTAGTGCAAATATATGGGAGTCCAGAGAGGCCACATAAAGCTTATTCTCGACCATAACCCAATCTAAAAACACGTTAAAATTGTGCAGCAGCAGGATTCCAGTCAAACCAGTGAGTTTGGCGGTTTTGAGACATCATCTTTCATTGAAAAAAAACCTTTTTCATTTTGCCGACGTGCATGGCTACGGCGACGCGCGCGCATACCAGAAACCGGAGACTTTTTTTTTTGGCCTTAGGGCCCATTTTTCCCCCGAAATTCACAGAAATACGAGCTCGCACTCCTGTGCACAGCTTCCACCCATATTTAAAAAAAACATTCAAGTTCATGGTCCACAAAATGTTCTAATAGCAAAGACTTTGAGAGCATACAAATCGTGATATGGCTCGCGTAGGCAATTTTGGGCCTATTTGCAGGTCTGCACCCCTGGCGGCTTGTGCCACGCGTGGCGTGGCCCTTCTACTCACGTTTGAGGCCTACGGGGCGTCGAGGCGAACAAGTTAATCACTGAAGACTCTGTCAGTGCATAGATCACCACTCCGGCGAAACAGCCCAGCAGAGTGTAAACTGTGAACAGGGAAAGTCCAAGCCAACGAAATATAATATAAGAAAAGCAAATAATAATCGATCATCAATGAAAATGGGTGTTGATTCTCGTCAAAAAGATACCGGATCCGACCGACTTTTTTTTCGAATTGCGTTAAAAGAAAATGTTTAGCCTAAGAACAAACGAAAAATGTATACTAAAACCGGAACTGATATCTTGGCCAATGTAAATTAATCAGTTTAACATTTAACACGCCTGTGGCTAAAGAAAAAGAAAAAAAAGTAGAAGTTTTTGTCTTTGTTTAAATTGAAGCAATTTTAAGGTCTTCGTTAGTTTTTTTCTGAATTTACGCTATTAGTAAGTGATCATATTTTGCCGTGTGTGTCATAATATAAAATGTACGAAGCTATGATTAAGAACTCACCTGAGCTTGGCACCAGAGTTCCGATTTGAGCCAGAACGATGCCAGGACACTGTCGGGATAACAAGAACACTGCAATTAATTAAAAGAACTTGTCTTTTTTAATACTGAAATGTTCAATCGGATAATATTTAGAATATGTTGTCTTCATAAGGCGTAGTTCTAAATTCCTTTAAAAAAATTTTTTCAAAAATCCCAATAATACTTTTTAAAAAAAATATAAAAAATAAATAAACATAACTTAAAAGACCTTTATTTTTTTAATTTTATTTTTTTAATGTATTCTTAAAATTTTAAAAACTAACACTTCCAAAAGAGAAAATCACCGGATGAAAAAAGGTTTACTTCGAAACGCCTTCAAAACAAAATGACTTGTTTATAATCTTTTGCAAGGGCAAGTTGCCCATCCAAGCACACTTACCGAAGCAGAGAGCGCCATGCCTGCGCCCAGGGTCATCCCTCCAATGACCGCCACGAGCGCCCCCTTGCGGGTCAGACAGGCCAGGTAACCCTGACGGATCTGAAGGAAGTGCTTCCGGGTCGGCGGGATGAGTGCCAGCAGGCAGAAGCAGATGATGCTTGTGGTCAGGGCGGAGAGGAAGACCTTGAGCATGATGAACCGGGAGTAGACGAACTGATCTCGGATCGTGGCAGGCTCGAACACTGTCCAAGAAGAACAGAAATGGTGGAAAATCACAAACGCCATCTCGAACCAAGTCGAGGCTATTGTTCACCAGTCTGCTCTGGTGAATAATGATTATAAAACATACTCTGTTTTAGCCACATTTAAAAAAAAATGGAAGCGAGACTATTATGAACATCTTCACAGAAGCGCGTCAAGTGCCACATATTAATACGCCTATGGGCCTTATGCACAAGTTGGCCATTTTTAGTTCCCGGAATGTATTTCATAAGTTGTGGATTGTTGAATGGGATGGTGCCAGACTTTGTACTCACTATATGAATGGAATTAAGGGCTGGCTGCTTTGGCAACGGGCGTTGTGCATGGATATATATCTACTTAAGTCCGTCTTGAGTCAGGTATACATGGGTCAGCTGCAATGGCTGGTTTCAAGTTTGACTGACTTAAACTTCAACTGGAGTTTTTTCACAGTGTAAACGCCGTGAAATGTTTCCACTTGCTGTCATTTAGAAGAAATCAAGAATTGTAGACTGTGATGTCCAACACTCCCAGTCAATAATGGAGTTTGGGAATTAATAAAGAGCGCTATGGGCGAAATCGTGATCAACAAGGTTGTGCATGTTTTTTTGTATTGTTTCAATTTAGTCTCGGAAAGTGTGATATCCACTGAGCTGAAACTTGAACAGGTTAGGTTTTGAACGTTCTTCTTTGGTCGGTTTTTGAGTGGCGTTATTATCGGAAATGAACAACATACAAAAAAACAGCAAATGATCGTACGTGCCTTTAACTTAACCATTGTGCTCTGTCAACAGGTGCAACTCGGGGCATACACACCCCCTGTTTGCAATACATTCACATATTGCTTAGCGCTTGTCTATTTTACAGCTGGCCTTCCTATGAGATGGAATTGCTCTTTACTTTTGAATACTGGCGAAAAAAATTCAAAAGATTTGTTTGCCTTTCAATTGCCGCAGAATAACCTTGGTTGCAATAAAAGGTTGAACAAAGGTTATTCAACCTCACCTATATCATTGTGCGACGTTTGAGCAATCTATTATCGCTGCATGTATTGTAATTTCAATCAGCTGCATGAATGATACGCCGTGGATCAGCATGACTTTGCAAAACTTGCATCTTCAACCGCAAGAGATGGGTTGTCACTTAAAATGATAACTCGATTATATTTTTTTTAACTCCGATTTATTTTAGCTGATTGGATGTATAAGGTGACCAAAAGCAGCCACACTTTTATAAAATTGGATTTCCGATGACTTATACTAGGCGAAAATCAGTTGGGAAAATATATACCCTCACATTTTTATTTCGTGTTATTTTAACTTTATAATAACCGAATTTATGCTAGGCTGTCATGGAAATACAAAATGGAATCAAAGGACAAGGGCGGATCAAGAGGGCTCGAGGGTTTTTTTTTTCAAAAAAGGGAGGGGATTTTATAAATATAGTGTAAATATTTTAAAACTAAAAGGTGTGTGTAACCACGGGTCCTGCACACTTAACTGGATAAGTTATAAACCAGGATAAACGTTTCAATTTCTTTCCTGAAAATACACAATATTTGGGGGGGGGGGGGATTGCCCGTTCCCCCTCCCCCATCTTTTTACACAAAAAGGTGTGTATATCTTGAAACCTGACGAAGAAAAATGCACCCATAAAATTGCAAGAATATTATAGAGATTCAATATACATACAAAATACGGTATAACATAAAGCTATAAAAGACACACAAACGGATCAAGTAAGCATAGGCAAACATATACAGAAGACGACTGTTGATTCTACTTCAATATTGTTGACAAAACCTTCGCGTGGAACACATCAGGGCCGCTAGGGGAGGTGATGGGGCCGGTATAGGCGCAACATTGATAGACATCCTTGACAAACCTCTACACACATATATACGAAGTACCGTGACAAGTGTTTTCAAGCAGGAGGGATATAAGGATATTCCAATTAAACGTGTGCACAGTCACATAGATTGACTGCGTGATTAAATTAAGCTCATCACAAACCGCAATATGAAATGGACTCTTACAGTCCCCAACCCAAGCAGAATCTACAAAATACTACCTGTTGGAATCATGGATCAAAAATGTCCAATTTAAACAACCAAGATCATTCTGTAAAATGAAAACACATCTGGAATCAATAATGTTGTTATACCAGGAAGAAAATATACACTCACCTCGGCTCTTTTCCACTGCCAGACCGAAAGTCATACCAGCAACAAGGCTGAGAACTAGCTGCACCATGCCATTCGCCATGATGCGTATGTATCCCTTCAATGAGGGGTACACCTTCAAGTTCTTACAGACGAATCGTAGATAGTTGCAAGCTGGCGACTTTAACCAACCCTTCAAAGCAACCCCTGAAAAGACGGACTAACAGACAGGGCGAAATCGAGTATATAGGCTAATGGTCTGTCAAGTGACGACATGCGTTACACTCTCTACAAACAACGAATTGCGAAAACACGTTCCTCTCGCAGGTGTCAATGCTTGACGAAAATGTGTACGTGCGATGATGTGTGTGTGCGCGCACGCACGCCTACGACGAATAGTGACGTTTGTGAAAACAAGTCACGCATCACCGCATCCGAGATTCGTTATCATGGCAACGACGGTCGATGACACCACATACGCCTCGTTCGCTCGTATAACAGAAGGCAGACGCACATTATGTGAAGCGATGATGAAAATTACAGCAATAGGCCAATACATGAATGTTGGACTTGTTGAAATCCGGTACATGCGGACCTTAGTCAGATAATGTGTGCTCATTGAATTGGCGACATGCGCAGTATTTTTTTTTTTAAAGCAGTCCAACTTTCACACTTTCTTTGTCATCGTCTAGCAGTCGCAACCGAGATCTCGTTCACAGCGCCACGCCAGGTGTCTTTATCCCTCATTATGTGCGGAAGATCTTGAATTTCGCATTGGGTGTCTCTGCCAATCACATCAATGTAGTTGAAGGGTCTTCGTCCTCTATTAGGGCATGGAAGTCGCCAACATATACGTCAGATATGACCTGGTTTACAGCACGGTAGCAGTGGCCAGCAAAGCGAACTCGTCGTTGAGCAACAATAGCAGAGATAGGTGGAATGTCTCCGTAAATCTGTTCTTTAGTCCTGTGCTCACGCCATGGGATGTTCTGCACCCTCATAAGAAGCCCGGTGTGTGTGCCATCAAGGCGATCTCTTTCTTCCTCCAGGTTTCAACTCAACAGAGAATAATGCGCTTCACACAGCACGCCCAAAATACACAACAGTGTGGTCTGACTTTTAGGTTTCACTAAAAGGTTTCACTGCTACTCGAAAATATCCGTTGGTCCTCTTGACAAATCGAAACCGCGGATTATAGGCAGCCGAGAGCGTGGAGTGGCTTTCAGCTCAATCATTCAAGAGTTAAAATCTCCTTGCGTTTCCGGATGCAGTGACTTACTGGAACATTTTGGTTTGCCGCCTTTAATTCCATTACAGATGATTCATCTACCATGTGCCGCGAGCATGTGCGTAACATTTCAAGCCTAGGACATCCTGTTAAAAGAGACATTTTCACTTTTTTTTTAATGTTCGTGAAATCTGGCTACCCATGTGACTGTGAAGGCCTATAGCTGCCGGCTTCCGGCTCGTTTTTTTCTTCCCCCCCCCCCCCCCCGCGGATGCGATTATTTTTTTTCTCTCAAACGACATCTGCATATGGTTGTACATGTGGTGTTTTGGATTATACTTTTCTAAAAAAACATGAGAAGAAAATATAAAATTAGAAAAAATGAATTTGGACGTAAAGAAATTTTGACTAAAATAAATAAAATCCTCCGAAGCCTCAGGATAGAAAAGAAAAATGATTCTAGTTCCAATCGGTGTTTGGAACCCGCAACCATCGCGACCTGTATCGACTGAGCTATCGCACGACTCAATTAAATTTATGGGGAAAAATAATTATATACCTGCGTACGTATCATAAATGTATTGTAGAGGGCGCTAAACAACCATGTTTGCGGATGTAGTTTGAGAGACAAAAAAAATCGCCCTTGGATTGTGACACACCAACCGGCATTTATGAAGCAAATTATTTATTCAACAATTAGTAGTCTAATTAACCGAATTATTAGGTTATGAAATTAAAAAGCTTATACTAGCTTGGTTTTTATCATACTAGTCGGAATTTCATTACGTCCGGGTACTGGTGTAATAAAATTAAAAATGCATCCTTGTTTTCAATATTCATTTTGTGTCCCATCTCAAACAATTATTGTACGCAAGTTCCTTTCAGTACAATGTGTTTTTCTTGATTATCGTCTCCTCAAAGAGTGCTTTATTTTTGTTCAGCTGAAGCCGACTTCGTTTGGGCAGATCCATGGATCGTAATCCGCGTAATACGGTGGTGACCAGTATTGATGTAGCGCGCCCTCTTTTGGAAGCAATTGATGTTGGTAAAATTTGCGGGAGTGCCCTTACACTGTGTAGATTTTGTTTTTGTTTTATTTATTGTTTGATCCCAGTTTCTGTCGATTTTCAAACCGTTTGTGTCTTATATCTATATAGATGATGAAATGTGAGGGGGGGGGGGTTGGGGGTGTCATGAGGCCCATTGATAGTTGCATAAATTTGAGATGGTCCTACTTGCTTAAAAGGCAGACTTTTAGAGTATTTCCTCTTATTTTTTGCAGGATGCTGACAGGATATACGAATGGCTGCGAAGGCAGCGCATGCTGGAATACACCAACAACTTCTCTAAGGCTGGATACGACATGCCCACCATTGCCAGGATGACACCCGAGGTAGGCTCTGCCCCTCCCCCCCCCCCGCCACCCCTCCCCCTCCACCACTCCCCCTCCACCACATACGCCACATTGCCTTCCTGTTATGCTGAAAATTTTGGCATGAATTCCATGGGCACGCTCATTCTTCACTGTCATTTTTTTCTAGAAGAAAAAATTTCAACGGGGCCGAGGGGAAATTTACTGGCGATGAAGACTTAATATCTCATTTTGTCAGCAGCCCCAGAATTACATGTATGGAATACGTTGCCTGCTGACATTCACCATTCCCAGTCCATGGACTTGTTTAAGCGTAAAGTTTAAGACTTGTCTTTGTAAACAGGCTTTTAACTAGATTTTATTTAAAATCGGTAAAATACTTCTGGAGCCAAGGACAAATGTTCGATGTGGACCTTTAATACTCACAAAGCCATTTTGGTCGGGTTCCCCGAATGTATTTGGATTAATTGCGAACTGTTGAGTGGGACGGCGCCAGACTATTTATACATTCTAGCCTCACTTTCAGTTGTTGTGGCTTAAAACGTTAGGGCATGTTCAATCACAAATTTAAAATGATGTATTAGAGTAGACAGGTACAATGTGTAATTTACTTTATGTCATTGCTTTCATTTCACTTCGCAAGTTACAGAAATGAAGATTTCACCTCACTTTAAATTCAATATGGCCGACTCGTGAATAAGGCCAATAGCCTTGTTCGGTATAGCGACGTTCCACTGTGCATGCTTTCTTCGGAAAATTAACTGGTTTTTTTATATTGCTTTTAATTGTAGGATCTGACGGCCATTGGAGTTACTAAGCCTGGTCATCGGAAGAGAATATCGGCCATGATTAGCCAACTCAACGAACCTGACGGGATACCAAACTACAAACCGGTAAATTTGTTAATAGTTCAGAATTTGTCTTCATTTTATCGTTGTTATCCAGTTTTGAGCCTGGCCATTCCAAGTTAAAGGCATATAGGATCATTGGCATTTTTTCCAGTGACGCACCCAGGATATTACGTTTGGAACATTCTTCTTTGGATTTTGAGTGGTGTTAATTATTTGAATCGAACAAAATGCATGAAAAGCAAATTTTCCTATCTGCCTTTAAAAACAGAAGATGTTCAATCAATATTTGTTAAGTCTTTGTTTATTTGTTAAGGGCCAAATCTGAGGGGAGTCTTTTGTCTTATTTCAGTTATTTAACCTATACCTGCGATGGATTTTTTTTTTGCTTTTCAGTTTTTTCCTATCTTTGCTTTAAACTTATTTGGTTCTTTGACTGTCATGCTTTTGTAAAAAAGTGGTCAGTCATGCACATTGAAAGAACTTCTGACTCATGTCATCCAAAGCTGCCACTTCTGTTCTTATAAAAAGTATGCTTCATCACAGATAAAAACGTACTTCGTTTTCCACTATAGGTGTGGTGCCATACCTCGGTTGTATTTTTAGTGTCACTACTTCGTCATTGTTAAAAGTTGCATTCCCTGAGCTATTTTCGAGTTTCATCCGGGAAAACAGATTCCTTTCTAAATTGGTATTTTTCTACCAATACAGAAGTGTTCCACTTTTGAATGAGACATCGTCCCAAAAAATTGGCCCATGTTCAGATATGGCAAAAATTACTTTACAAATGTTGAAATTATATGCCTCCTGACAATAAGTTTGGCGCATCTTATGTGCGTAATGGGCGCAAAAGTAACCCCAGATACAAGCATATTTTCAGGTGGTTGAAAACATGTAAAATAGAAAAACAAAAATAGTTTTTAGCTTTAAATAAAACGGGACAAAAAGGAGAAAAAGATTGTAGAGCAATTTGAAGTCATCTTTGCCCTGATGTGGTGTTGCCTGAAAAAGTCACAGACTATCACACTTTCATTGCAACCCCTAATCTCTATCTCTAGTTTCTCACTCTTTTTTTTTCTCTCTCTCTCTTATTAGCCTGACGTGGTGATGTGGCTGAAGTTACTAGACTTGTACCAGTACTACAACACCTTTTTGAGTAACAGCTATGGCACGATGGACGCAGTGTCCAAGATCACGTGGGAAGACCTCCAGGAGATGGGCATCAACCAATTAGGTGAGACAGTGGTGCTGTTTTCAACTATCAGGTTTTTTATTGTTGCTAATTTTAGGTAGGGATGCCATGCACAACTCAGGTAAAACTTAGTTTTGAACTGGTTTAACTGGTTTTGAACCAGATAAACAAGTTTCAAACCAGTTCCAAACCGGTCAAAACCAGTTCAACCAGTTCAGAACCAGTTCAGAACCAGTTCAACCAGTTCAAAACCAGTTCAAAACCAGTCCAAAACCAGTTCAACCAGATCAGAACCAGTTCAACCAGTTCAAACTCAGTTCAAAACCAGTTCAACCAGATCGGGTATTTTGGGTGACCTATCCCCTTTTGTTTCTAGTGATTAACTATACAAGTGATTAACTATACAAGTGTTTGAAAGCAGTATGTATGGTAAAACTGGAGTTCAGTATGAAATTTAATGTGCATAATTTGTTCCATAGAAATTCGCGTGGATATTTGGGGGGGGGGGGGGGGCAGGGAGTTGGGTAGGTGGGTTTGGTGGTGGTGCCAAGCTTCTTGAAAGACATTGATATTTCTTGTTTTAAGTCAACCTTGAGGAATTCTAACCTTAACTTATCACACAAGGTCGCGGGTTAATCTTAATTGGTCGTATATTATTCTGCAAGCTACAATCGAATGTGTCTCGTTATTACGAGCTCGGTTATGACGGGATCCGGTTAAGACGAGCATATTTCGCCAGTCCCGACCCAAGTGTGCACATTCCTAGAAGGAAATTAACTGCTTAATACGAACTTTGGTAAATGAGAATTCGGTTAAGACGAGTTTTTGACCCCGTCGGGTGCAAATGCATAATCTATTTATCTCAACGAGCGTTTGGGGAAACACTTGTCAGTCAGTGCACCATTCAATAATGAACTTCACTGTTTTTGTTAAGAAGTTAAAGTCTTTGACATTGACTGTCCTGTTTCTGGGTACCGTAGTAGGTGTACACGTAGTTCGTTGTAGGCGTTTCGGTGTTCCACTTTTCCAACAGACTGCATGTGTACATAACCAGAGCTTTTTATAAGAAGTCTTGAGAACCGATATTTTATTATTTCGGACAGTTCAACTGTGTTCCAAGGAGAAAGGTCTCTGATTGGAGAACAAAATGAGAAAAATCAGCTATGCACCGATGTTTGTTGCCTATGCAACAACAACAAAAAAACAATGCTGCCGACGGTTAAGAGGAGTAATGATTTGTACGGATGAAGAACTAACAAGAAACAGATTTTTTTATTCTTCCTGATTTTATCTGTCAGACTTTACTTCTATTTTTAGTCAGATTTTCCTTATGTCTGGTGGAGTTGTTAGCAACTGACTTTTGCTCGCGTACTGTACATGTAATTTATACAACGAAGGTTCTTTGAACCGATACAATGTGATTATATATAACAACTGTACCATACGTTTATGTTATACATTGTATATTATGGGTAATAATGTACAAAAGTTAATACTATACAAAAACTGTATACTCGTGTAAGTAATTAAGTTGTGTCCAAACATACTGATGTAGTCTTGGTCCGTACATCGAACGGCATTGCACAATCGTACAGTGCATTTTGATTTCAGCCATTGGCGGGAAACACAAAGTTTAACTTCGTTTAACAGCGTGAACAAAAACTGTTAAAATTATGCAAGGTGTGTGCAAAGTATGATTGTTAAGGTCGTTTATGTGATTACCGACAGTATTTGTGTTTGCCCGATAAGCAAGAATGCTAAGGCCTAATTTTAACTTTAGTATCTTATCGATCAGTGTACCAATATTCTACATTTATGTTACTATTGTAAAAAAATAAAAACCAGGAGTTGATTCATTGAAAACTGTGTTTGATATATATAGATAATTATGAATTTAAGTGAACTAATAAAAGTACTTCTGGGGCTTCCGGAAAAAGAAAAGTGATTTTTTTTTGTACAACGAATTTGCCTTTCTTTTACTTGAGGTGCGCAAGGGCGGATTGCCCCCCCCCCCCCCCCTCCAAACGAACCTAACTTTTTTTTTTTAAGTGAAGTCGCAATAAAGGCAGGCACTGCTTACACTACCATCAGATGTTTTCCTAAAAATAACTTGGTGAAAGGAATGCATAAGGTGCCCTAAATGATCACATTCCAATTCGATTTCTGGCTAGATTTGCTTTTCAAAATTAGGGCCGACAATAACGGTCGCCCCCAGCGGTAAGCGCGTTAATATATACCGCTAGAAGCGACAATGGGCGCCCCCAGCGGTACAAGCGTTATACCGCTAGGGGCGACAATGGTGGTCGCCCCCAGCGGTATGCGCGTTAATATATACCGCTAGGGGCGACAAGAAAGGTCGCCCCTAGCGGAAGTTCCTCTGGGGGCGATCAATATCGGTCGCCCCCAGCGGTATACCGATAGGGGCGACGTCGCCCCTAGCGGTACGGGTACCGCTAGGGGCGACGTACCGCTAGAGGCGAATTACCGCTAGACGCGACGTCGCCCCTAACGGTATACCGCTAGGGGCGACAATAACGGTCGCCCCCAGCCGTACAAGCATTAATAAATACCGCTGTGGGCGACAATAATGGTCGCCCCCAGCGGTATACCGCTAGGGGCGACAATAATGGTCGCCCCAAGCGGTACGCGCGTTAATATATACCGCTAGAGGCGACGTCGCCCATAGCGGTACGGGTACCGCTAGGGGTGACGTACCGCTAGAGGCGACGTACCGCTAGAGGCGACTTACCGCTAGAGGCGACTAACCGCTAGAGGCGACGTACCGCTAGAGGCGAATTACCGCTAGAGGCGACGTCGCCCCTAGCGATACGGGTACCGCTAGGGGCGACGTACCGCTAGAGGCGACGTACCGCTAGAGGCGACTTACCGCTAGAGGCGACGTCGCCCCTAGCGGTATACTGCTAGGGGCGACAACAACGGTCGCCCCCAGGCGTACAAGCATTAATAAATACCGCTGTGGGCGACAATAATAGTCGCCCCCAGCGGTATACCGCTGGGGGCGACTATTATTAGCGGTACGGGTACCGCTAGGGGTGACGTACCGCTAGAGGCGACGTACCGCTAGAGGCGACTTACCGCTAGAGGCGACTAACCGCTAGAGGCGACGTACCGCTAGAGGCGAATTACCGCTAGAGGCGATCGACGTCGCCCCTAGCGGTACGGGTACCGCTAGGGGCGACGTACCGCTAGAGGCGACGTACTGCTAGAGGCGACTTACCGCTAGAGGCGACTAACCGCTAGAGGCGACGTACCGCTAGAGGCGAATTACCGCTAGAGGCGACGTCGCCCCTAGCGGTATACTGCTAGGGGCGACAACAACGGTCGCCCCCAGCCGTACAAGCATTAATAAATACCGCTGTGGGCGACAATAATGGTCGCCCCCAGCGGTATACCGCTAGGGGCGACAATAATGGTCGCCCCCAGCGGTACGCGCGTTAATATATACCGCTAGAGGCGACGTCGCCCATAGCGGTACGGGTACCGCTAGGGGCGACGTACCGCTAGAGGCGACGTACCGCTAGAGGCGACGTACCGCTAGAGGCGAATTACCGCTAGAGGCGACGTCGCCTCTAGCGGTATACCGCTAGAGGCGACCATAATGGTCGCCCCCAGCGGTACGCGCGTTAATATATACCGCTAGAGGCGACAAAGGGCGCCCCCAGCGGTACAAGCATTATACCGCTAGGGGCGACAATAGTGGTCGCCCCCAGCGGTACGCTCGTTAATATATACCGCTAGGGGCGACAAGAAAGGTCGCCCGTAGCCGAAGTTCCTCTGGGGGCGATCAATATCGGTCGCCCCCAGTGGTCAGGAATCGTCTCAGATTGCACAAGAGCGTATTTTTAGTGGGCCCCGGACCCCACGCCGCAGGGGAGGGGGGGGGGTGCGCTTCCCGCTCGCATCAGCCCTAAAAATGTGCCCGCCCTCTAGGACCCTCTTGTTTGAAATTCCTAACTACGCCTGTGCTTTAATCCAAATATTGAAGTAACTCCACAATAATTCAGTAGGTTACTTTGGGATATCTCTTCTAGACACCTTTTGAAAATCATGATGCAAGAACGTGTCTTTACAGAAACAGGATTTTCTTTGGAAGAAATTCGACTGATTTGAAGGGGTTTCCAAGGCGGTCAAACGGGGCTACAAAGTACAACAAAACACCAAACAGCTTTTCAATTTTTGTTTACAAATTATAAAAATACTTTATTTTAAAAAATACAAAACCCATGCCGTTTCATAGAAAATTGAAATGCACCCTAGAAAACACTCGTATACCAAATACATACCACTGAGTTTTATGCATGAAAAGCCACAAAATATGATTAATTCAAAATTTCTTATAATAGTAAATTTGAACAACTAAATTTGATAATATTTACAGTGGCAGCATGTTAAGGTTTTTAGATCTTGGTGGCGTCGGATTCCTACATAGCATATAAAAGGTGGTCCAGAGGTATTGCGTAAATGCTGGCAAAATGAGGTTGCAAACAGCCTCCCTAGTGATACGCCACTGTTCCTTATGCCTACTTAACATAAAAACTCAAACTAAACGATACAAAAAACTACACAAACAACCTTGTAAAGTCAATGAACTGCTCACATATTTCCAAACAATTACCCACAAACCTTTTGAACTAACAACTTAATTTGACTAGTCATTTGAGAGTGTTGTCATTTTCACGAAGAAAATGTGTTAATCTTGGGGCTTGTAAAACCGTGGTCCCCTTTGACAGTTACCATGTTCAATGGAATGAACACAATGCTCAAACGGGACAAAATGAGATGACATGTAGCACAGTTGTTAAAAAGGTAAGATCGAAACTAAGTCTGTGAAGCTTTTTTGGTATATTAAACAATGCAAGGTTTTAGATACTAAAGTTATTTTGTATTTTAAACATTAAAAATATATTCGTACATAAACACCTTTTGCTACAACTTAACTCTATACCTTACTACTGTTTACTTCAAAATCTCTATGCTTTTAAAGAGTAAATATCTTTTTACAGAAAAAAATTGTTATAACTTTGCTAGTTTTACACTTTTGACGTGAACATATTGATGTGTCCTATTTGGTGATGCTGAAAAGTAATGTTAATGGGCCACAACGTATCGGGCATCTTAAGTGTACCTTACCAAAAACGAACCATTCATTTTGTCTGTCAGCTCTCAAATTGTTCCGGGAAAATCGCGTCACATGATCATTGTACACTGGTGCAGCATAAACATGATGGCGAAAAACATGTTGGAGAACAGTCCGAGTAATTACCATTTGTTATATCACAATATCAAGGCACTAGCGTGAAATTAAAAAGGGTGGACTCTTCCACATTTTGTCGGCAAGATCTACAAAATCTAAGCAAAACATGTAAAACTATGATACCTTTAGTTTAATGTTTTGACTAAATCACTGTAGCCGCGACATTTAAAAACAAGTGCGAGGTCAAAATAAGCTCTGGCCGTGTTGCAAGAAGCCTTGTATGAAAGTCTTGCATGCAAAATTGATTAAAACGATCCCTGCCAGAGCTTAAAAATGCGACGCCGAAAAAAAATGCGACGCCGATGGCACTAATGGAACACCATACTTTTGGTCAATTTTCGGGACCGACGGACAGACCATCCGACCGACCGACCACCAAGTGACAAGTATAAAAGCCCCTGCCAGAGCTTAAAAATAGGAAGTGTTTATAGAGAAAACCCCTGAAAACTCCTCTTGAAAAGACCCCCATAGGAAATTGAAAAATAGGCATCACAAAACCCCTTTATAGGAAGATAGAAAATAATTATTAGGAACCCCTAAGCTGGTAGGAAAAAAGGTAGTGGCAGTTGGTACTCCTAGGAGGATACAAAAAGTGCGAGTGCACAATAAGCTCTGGTCGTGTTGCAAGAAGTCATACTTGACAGTCTTGCATGAAATCGACCAAACTTAGGCCTATCCCTGCCAGAGCTTAAAAATATCAGCGCCGATGGCACATATGGAACACCACACTTGGGTCAATTTTCGGGGCAGACAGACGACAGGCAGACAGACCGACCGACCGACTGACCACCAAGTGATCAACACGTAGAAGCTCCTGTCAGAGCTTAAAAAAGACCTCGAAATCGTGACAGCAAAAACCAAGCCGTTAAACAGTTGTACCTCAACTAGCCTTGGTCAATGCTCTCGTCGTTATTCATCCCGTACGCGGTCAATCGTCGGCATATATCCTCACGCGCTATGCACATGCATGTAAAAATACAGCGCGAACAGCGACCTCACGCGGCCACTATTTTTATATGTAAATCAGTTGGGGACGATCGAGAGCCTTGGTTCAATCGTCCATGTGAGGTTTTGGGGGTGGTGCTCATTATGTTAATAGCCTTAACTGACCTTAAATGTCGTTTTCTTATTGGTTGATCGTTGCGTGGAAACTTGCATAGTGAAACGTGGCACCGTACATAATCCATACACGTACACATTGTGTGTCTCTGCACACGGCACCAATGCACAAAAACTGTGGTTCCTGTCACGTCCGCAAAAGGCGAATAGCTGCAAATAATTTGATGACGTCCGGATTTACCAAGGTGTGATTGGACACTCCACATATTAGCCCCGCCTACACTTATCTGTATTCGCATACGAGGTCGTGCGCTAGAAATCCAGCGCAAAATAAAGAAAAACATAAGTTTTTGCCGACGATTGAACCAAGGCTCGAGATCGTCCTCAACTGATTTGCATAAAAAAAATAGTGGCCGCATGAGATCGCTGTTCGCGCTGTATTTTTACATGCATGTGCATGGTGCGTGAGGATATATGCCGACGATTGACCGCGTACGGGACGAATAACGACGAGAGCATTGACCAAGGCTATACCTCAACATGAATGCGCAACATCCTTTGGCATAGTTATCGTTCTCTGATGGTTGTAGCTATATTTCCAAGATAATAACGAAAAACAAAGAGCTTTCCGTCTATCCTGCTCGACTGGACGAAAGGGTGGGATTCAGTAAAGGAAAAGGGCAAACTGGAGTCCAAGCAGGTGTTCCGTCCACCCTACATCACTACTCATAAGCCGTTTGGGGCCTTGTTGCTTTTTTCTTGTCGCATCTCGTTCGGGTTGTTACTTCTTTTCCTACGTCACAATTTTCACTCAGAATCTGATTATTTAAAAAGAAATATATGATGTATACTTACTGTGTGAACTGAAGGATATATGCGCTTCAAAGATGGCAGGTTTTTACATCTGCACGACATTCTAAAAAGTCCTGGTCAGAATTGAGCGGGAATTACTCCGGGTTCTATTTGGCCCGACACTTTTCATTGTCAAAATGACACTCTTCATTGTCAAAATGACACTCTTCGTTGTCAAAATGACACTCTTCGTTGTCAAAATGACACTTTTCATTGTCAAAATGACACTCTTCATTGTCAAAACGACACTCTTCATCGTCAAAACGAGTTTTTAAGTGTCAAAATGACACTTTTTATTGTCAAAATGACATTTTGGGGTCAAAATTACACTTTTCTTTGTCAAAATTACACTCTTCATTGTCGAAATGACACTTTTCATCGTCAAAACGACATTTTTCATCGTCAAAACGACAGTTTTTATTGTCAAAATTACACTTTTCATTGTCCAAATGACATTTTAGGGGGTCAAAATTACACTTTGCTTCGTCAAAATGACACTTTTATTGTCAAAATTACTTTTTTCGTAGTCGAAATGACGAAATGACGAAATCACACTTTTCAGGTTCAATTTATATTGTACTTCCAATAGGCAACCAAGCACACCGCACGTAATAGAAATTCTTACATAATCCCTTCAAAATACACTGTAAATTGACTTCCTCTTCATCCTCTTATCTTATTCTTTATAATACTCTTACCTATTGGCCACCCTTTTATACATAGATCCACATTGCTCCACATTTCCTCACTCCACAATCCCCAAAGAACGTGTACAAAAAAGGGGTGAGGCACTACCTTACACTGCCGTGCAGCACTACTCACCTGATTCCTCTTCATGCGTGAGGACAGTGCCTCGAGCCTGGGAAGAAAAGTCCATGTAAAAGAAGTTCAGGTGATATCATAACAAAAGTTATGGTAATATCTAACAAAAACATCATATAATCAGGTGATACCATAACAATTTCAAGTTCTGGTAACACCACAACAGAAATGCATACAATTCCTTGACAACATTTCAGGCGATACTATTATAAAAGTTCAGGTGATACCATAACAAAACTCAGGTAAAAGAAAAGGTTAGAGTAATACCATGACAGAAGTTCAGGTGATACCATAACAAAACTCAGGTAAAAGAAAAGGTTAGAGTAATACCATGACAAAAGTTCAGGTGATACCATAACAAAACTCAGGTAAAAGAAAAGGTTAGAGTAATACCATGACAAAAGTTCAGGTGATACCATAACAAAACTCAGGTAAAAGAAAAGGTTAGAGTAATACCATGACAAAAGTTCAGATCATACCCTGACAAAAGTTCAGATGATAGGTTCCAACAAAAGTTATGGTAATCCCTAACAAAAAGGTTCAGGTGCATCCATAGGAATTTTAAAGTTCAGGTAACATCATAACAAAAATTCAGGCCATTCTTAGACGATAATACATCTTCAGGTGATACTATAATAAAAGTTCAGGTGATACTATGACAAAACTTCAAGTTAATAATCATCCCTCCCAGTGGCATTTTTGGAGGCCTCAGCTAGTTCCCCGTCCACTACATATTTCCATTTCTAAGAAAACTCACTCTTTTTTGATTTCCTCCACCTGCTTCTGGGTAGCCTTCATTGACAAACTGTTCCAACAAGATGAAGAGGAAGATAACGAGGAAGACAGTGATGAGTAAAGACTAGTAGTTTCAGAAAGACTATTGTAATTTTAACATAATCTAGTAGTGTCTTTGGTACAAAAGAAAATAGGCACTCTTACAGTAATCCATTATTGTAATTTCATACTATTACGTTACATTGAGGAAAATAACGATTTAATAAGCCTCTGTACTGATGAGTCACACTTTGTTTACATGTGCACTTTCCTATGGAGCCAGTGGGGGCCCACGGTCCACTGAGCACCATAGGAAAGCACACACGTAAACCAAGTGTGACGTCATCAGCACAGAGGCTTATTGCGAAGAAAGATATCGGGAAAAAACAGAAAAAGACAAATCAAAACACGGTGTTTCAAACATAGGTCCTTTGGACACTAATGTAACTTTCAATTTCGTCATGCATTTTCCTTCATGCTTCGTGAATATCAATCCTGTCCAATCAAGATTTTAAGGCATGCCATTGTTCTTAATTGTTACACGTCACGCATTTCCTGTCCAGAGATTTTATGGTTTGCTACAGTTTTCCTTCACACCTCATGCATATCAATTCTGTCCAATCAAGATTTGTAAGTTTTGTTTTGTTGCGCTTTACTCCGATTGCAAGTCCATTTCAAACGAATTTTACATACGCGGCTGGCCCATTCCCTCATGCATATATGACCCCGCCCACTTATTATTATGACCGACTTCATTCACGGTTTCGTTGACAGTGCGTACCACAAAATTACAAGTTACATAGTGGGTCATAGCAGTGGAAATAATATTATAACAGTAACGATATAACACGTCGAGTGCCGTGTACTACTCCTGACAAAAGTTCAGGTGATACGCGCCTAACACAAATTATGGTAATCCCTAACAAAAAGTTCAGGCTCATCCATAGCAATTTTAAAGTTCAGGTAACATCGTAACAGGTAATTCCTTGAAAAAATGTTAGGTGATACTATAATAAAAGTTCCGGTGATACCATAACAAAACTTCAAGTTAATAACAATCCCTCCCTCTCTCCCTCTTTCGTGGCATTTAAGAGTTTTGGAGGCCTCAGCTAGTCCCCCGTCCACTATATATTTCCATTTCTAAAAAAATTCACTCTTTTTTTATTTCCTCCACCTGCTTCTGGGTAGCCTTCATTGACAAACTGTTCCAACAAGATGAAGAGGAAGATAACGAGGAAGACAGTGTTGACTAAAGACTAGTAGTTTAAGAAAGACTATTGTAATTTTAAAACTAGACGTGTTGATTGTCTACGGAAAATGCAACTGGCTTTTCTACCTTCTATGATGTTTCAAGTTTATACTTTGTGTGTCCATGCAGAATCATATTTTTTTTTAATGATGTTCAGTTTCATGCATAAAAATCTGTGATTAAATGATGAGAAATACTCAACAAAAAAATGAACACACATGTTACATGTGTTGGAAGATCGTACATTTTCTGCTAAAATTTGTCAAATCCACCGATCTGCAAAATATTATCATGTCTGATAAATCGTTAAAATGATAGACTTTTTCTTTGAAATTAAATCTCATAAAAACACAACGATGGTGTTTATCACAAATTCAGCGGTAAATTTCCTCACATAACACGCGTTAGACTATGTTCAAACAGAATTTTGAGCCAATCAGACTAATAATTTCCTCAATGCGAGACTTTGAAAAATGTGCATCAATGATGACGTCACATGTCCCGTGATGACGTCATTGCAACAATACTTGGCAATGCTCATTATTTTATTGTGCTTTTTCGTCCGTACCAAATTTGAAGGCAATCGGATGAATAAAAGTGTTACAGTTTGTAAGCAAAATAAAATTGTAAATATTTTTAAAATCGTAAAAAAATCTGCTGATGACGTCATCGTGACGTCATTTCAGATTTTGTGCATTAGTACTATTATCTACCCACCAAGTTTCATGACGATCAGACATTCCCTTACATGTGTTTTATAAAATCGCATTTTTGATAACGTCATCACGACGTCACAGATTTTTCAAAATTTTGAACATAAACCTATTGCTTAACAAATCTAATACAAAAAGAATTTTGAATTTAGAGTATTGCGCTCGTGAGATATGGCTCAAATGTCCAAAACTTCAAAATCGATATAATATCAACCTATGACTTCATGACGACGTCACCTCAGCTCAATTTGTGTCTATAACACATCCCGGTCTACCTACATACCGAGTTTCAACACAATCAATCTCATAATTCTTTAGATAAATAGGGTCTTAAAATCAAGTCCCAGTGACAAAAGTTCAGGTGCATCCATAGCAACCCTAACTCCCTAGGGGGTGTGCAAAATCATATTGAATTCGGAGGATTCAGGACTGTTAGGGAGTTCAGGTAACATCGTAAAAGGCAATTCCTTGACAAAGTGTTTGGTATAAATACTATAATAAAAGTTCAGGTGATACTATAATAAAAGTTCAAGTAAGTTCCATGTTTGCATTTCTAAAAAAAACTTACTTCTTTTCGATTTTCGCCATCTTCTTCTTCTTTTTGTCCACCTTCTTCTCTTTCAGATCGGTCAGATAATCCTGGCACTTCAACTTCGCAAAGGCCAACAGCTCCGCCATCACCTTGGGCTGAAAGTTTCTCTCTGATGTGTCAGTTAACAAACCAGGCAAATTAATGACCACCATGACACAAGACAATCAGCCTTTTCATGCTATGGCATACATAATAGATTGATAAATAGTCTCAGGACAGCTGTTCGAATCGAAACGTTGGATATCACATCAGGAGTTGCGTTCCTCTAGCACAAACATTCCCAACGTTCGCTATATCTTCTTGTTTGCGAACGTTGGCAACGTTTCAGTACACGAAATGTCCCTGTTCTCCATTGTGGTTGACACATCTCTTAAATGGTGCATGGTATATTCCTTAAACTTAAAATAGCCCTGTTAAAATGACCTGTTAAAAGTTTTGTGTTCATAGATGCTGAAAAAACCAAGAATAAAAAGAATGCTGTTCTTGTAGTATGGTTCCCTGACTCTACGGCAGACGAAACGGAGCAATTTATACACGTCGGGAAATTGTCAGGTCGGGGAACCAGACCAGCTGGCTTGCACCCGTTCACCAACCTCGTTCCCCATGGGTACGATCTTGCTGCGCCATGTTGTTTCCCATCATGCCTTGTGCGATCTTAACCCCTGGAATTGTGTAATTTAAATGTGTCAAAATATGGCACATTATAATTAGGCTTCATTTTATCCGTTTTACATTCCGACGCCATCTTTAAAATGTTAAAAGTTGTGATTTTGAAGAATCAATCCTTTCAAACATAACGTTTGGACGTTGCGTTATTTAGCAAAGATGTGTACCCTTTTCGTCCCTTTACAACCGAAAATACAGGGGTTTTTTTAGCGAAAAACTAGGCTGCCATAATCCATATCGTACAGGCATCGCGACTTTTGAATCACAATCTTTTTTCGTACGTGATGTTACGTGCAAAGCACGCAAACGCATCATGGGCGCGCCCGGCGTGCAATCTTCAAAATGCGCGCGCAATACGCTGTGAATATCCACCCTTACAGAAATGTCCCATGAGCATCCCATGGGATTCCCATGGGGTCCCATGGGATTCCCATGGGACCCCATGGGAAACCCATGGGGGTCATCAAGAACACCATGTAAGTTAAAATGATCATCATGGGAAACCCATGGGAACACCATGGAGATTGCATGGACAACATGGGAACACCATGGGGATTTTACGAGCTCCATGGGAACACCATGGGGATTTTATGAGCTCCATGGGAACACCATGGGGATTTTACGGACACCATGGGAACACCATGGGGATTTGATGGACATCATGGGAACACCATGTGGAATTAATGAACACCATGGGAACATCATGGGAATTTATGGACACCATGGGAACACCATGGGAACCCCATGGCGATTTTATGGACACCATGGGAACACCATGGGGATTTTATGGACACCATGGGAACACCATTGGGATTGTATGTCACCATGGGAACACCATGGGGATTTACTGGACACCATGGGAACATCATGGGGATTTTAGACACATGGATACACCATGAGGATATGGGGATTTTAGACACATGGGTACACCATGAGGATTCGGACGCCATGGGAACACCATAATGTGGGTGATATAAATTATGGATACAATGGGAACACCATGGAGATTTAAAAGGCAGCACGGGGACACTGCCGGGTTATACTGGAGAACATGCATGTGCCATGAAAAACCATCATAGACCCAATTGCACTCCCAAGTTATAGGCAAACCTTTCTTTGATTTAATTACTTATTCGCCTAGCTGTAAATTTGAATTCAATTAAAAATATTTCCCTTGTGGTCATAGAGGTTATCAAGAATTCTATTTGTTAAGCTGACCATGGGAAACTCCTGTGGATGTTCACCAATTGAACACAATGGGATAAACACCATGGGACACCATGGGAACACCATGGGAACACCATGGGACACCATGGGACCACCATGGGACATTTTTGTGAGAATCTCTTACAATAACGAGTGTTGTAATTGCACATTTTTGAATATTTCTGTTGATAAGTGAAGTTAAATGATGAATACAGTATTTTTTATGTGGACAATGTGTCATTCAAACTTTGGATAATATTGATTCATTTATTATTATGGTTGGAAACATTTATGAGAAAATAAATTGGGAACACTGTGATAATATGGTACAACTTGACAAGTGGTATGGGAGCAATAATATTATAGAGTGCACAAACCACTCCTAGTACGTGGAACAACCCCCATTGGAGTTCCGCGATGTGCTTCACCTATTTGGTGAATAGTACTTAACACACAGGGTTAAAATGTATAGGAAGTTGTTATTGAAAAATACCATGGAGCAATATTTTTTTGAGAAATGAAAGGAAACCATACATGGAACAAAGCCCATACAAAATTTCCCATGGGAAAAAGCCTATGGGAAAAATCCCATGGGAAAAATCCCATGCTACATGGTGTCCAATTCACCATGCAATTCCCATGGGGTCCCATGGGAAAATTTCCCATGGGAATTACATGGGACATTTCTGTAAGGGCAATCAGCCTCATTTACGTCATCATCACGGCCAGGGGTTAGTGTAAGGAACGCGCACGCTCCCATGGAGTCGAGGCTGCCCGTTCACGAATGTGCAACCGATTGCAAACAAAATGTGGAAAATAAATTTGGTAAATTGAGGGCAGTATTTGAAATAGAGGTCATTTTTTCCAACGGCAGCCATCGCTGGAAATTGATACAAAAAAATGCACTTTTCTTGAAAATGACAGCACCCCAGGTGCATTTCACAGGATGCTTAAGAGTAGTATTCCCTTTCAGCCAAGTACGGTTTTTCATAATAAATTGGTAGTTTTGGTTTTTTATGTTTGTACCGCGAAAATTGCGGCGTTACATACTTACTCATGAGATTAGGCACCCTGTACAATTTGCATTCAGAAAATCGCTCCACGAGGTAGCGCACCAACTGGTACATATGAACCAGCAGGATGAAAGGGGAAACTAACGCTGGGCGGCGGTAATATTCCTTGATCAGCTGGTACCTCTGAATTTTCCAGTATGCATCCGTGTTCTCTTGAACTGCTGTGAAGGTGTAGCTGTTTTATGAACACAAACAAAATATAAATGAAGTTTATCTAATTTTGTTTCATTTGAAGTCTAAGGTAGAGAATTCCAAATTAATAAGGTGTTTTAGAATTTACAAAGGCATATAGAATCATTTGCATTTATCCCAAATGTATACCGAAATTTGTTTTCGTCTGGCTTGTTTTCATTTTGAAGAAATAATGAACTGTATAGATGATTTTCAATGATCAGTCAATTGACTGATAAAAAGATATTAAAAAGTGCTATTTGACGAAATTGTGTTGCATGGTTTTTCGATGTTTTTGGAACGGAATATTATCCACTGCATGAGCTTCAACAGGTTAGGTTTTGAACATTCGTCTTTGGATTTTGAGTGGTGTTATTATTGGAAACAATTGAACCAAATGCACAAAAAGCGAATGATCCTATAAAATGCATTTAAGATGAAAGCAATGCATAATAGTGTACCTAGATAATGAGCGTCATTCATCCCATTAAAAATAAGTTATGACAAGCCTTGACACTTATTCACACCATTTAACAAATCGACTGTTCTGAATTAACTTGACTTTTGTGAATTGAAATTCTCTTTAAGGAAACATGTACTTTGGTTAAGAGGAACAGTGCCGAGTACATGTACTAGTTTGACTTACTTCAGCATAGCAATGAGGAGGTTGATCAGAAGGATGTTACTGATGAACAGGTAGAAGACTAAACTAACTGTAGAGAACCAGGAATGTTGGGGGCAGGACACCATACCACCTTCAAGTTGCGTCTCGTCCGTAGCACAGTCTGTTAGAACAAATAGGCAAGAGGTGTCGGCTGAGTCAGAGTGGTATAGGCACTGCTGTAGTCGGGTGCATCACGGGTGCATCACGGATCCGTCAATCCCAAGACAAGTCACTTGCTATTCAAATTTGACGAACGTATTCGTCGGTGACCGTCCGTTTTCTGTATATTTGTGACCGGACCTGTGAGTTGACGTGTGATTTCCTTTGACCAGCCTTGTGATATTAGCTCATGAGGTCTTGACTACAATATCTGATCAGAGGACCCCGCCCGGAAGACTTAGTGGAACTAAAAATATTTGCTGTGATTCAATGAACATCCACTAAATCGTTGTTTTTATCGCTCACTGACTCACTGAATGCCACTAACCTCTTGTGACTTAGCCTTCCATTGAATTACCATTCTGAATCACCCGATTAGAATTTTGTCCATATTCTGGGATAAGATTAACTTGGCTTGCCCGGTCTTATTTTCAAATTCGCTTCCATTAAAAAGATCAGCTGAAAGTTTTTCTTTTTTTAACAATAGTTTGATTCCCTTTATCATTCATTCAGTGAATGTTGTCACTTACTGTCGTAACCATCCAGAAACAGCTCGCCGTACAGCTGGAAGTAGGATCGGTACAGGACTCCTTTAGCGATGGACTCTGGATCGGTGGAATTAGGATAGAAGATGGCCTGACAGGTTACTCCATAGGCGATCAGAAACACAAGCAGGATACAGACAAAGCTGATCAAATCCACCATCTGGAAAAAATGGAAAACAATCCAACCTTAACATGACATGTTAGAGTTCAGTATACGCTCTCAAACTATGAATTTGTTTGAATGCCCATTCTTGTGGTGAGAATGCCCGAAAACTGCTTGGTCTATCGCACATACACGGGAAAGAGAAAAAAACTAAGTCTTCTAGTTTCCGCTAGGGGGATTTAAAACTCCTATCCTCTCACAAATATCAAACTGATAATTGAAATAATTGAAATATGAGATCTTTACCATCCTTGTGATCATGATGAGCTTTGGACCCAAAAGCTTGCTGGCGTAGCAGATGTTTAGAATCCGGAGGTAGAACACCATGAGGTCCAGAGCCAGCACAATGCGCGCCGCGGCGAAGGTTGCTGGGTGGAATCGCAGGCCGACACCGACAGCGAACATGACCAGGGAGATCAGGTCCACAATGTTCCAGCCCAACAGCCAGGCTTGGAAACGGTGCAGCAGCGTGTTGTACTCCTCCTGAAGTATCTATCACAGAAGAATACACTTCCCCTATATCATATGCTGAATTAGATCATTGAAATTATTGTTTTGGATGAACATTTTGTACTACTAAAATGAATATTTTGTACTACTAAAATTAAATCACCGGACTGAATAGACTATGGAAACAAGACAGATCTCCACGGCAATACACCTTTAGTCACTAGTTTAAGCCATTTTTGATTGTATTCCTTGATTTTTTTTATAAATTGTAAACTGTTGAATGGGATGGTGCCAGAATACTTATGCGTTTCAAGCCTCACATTCAATTTTTTTTTGAATGTGGCTTAAGACATTAGGGTATGTTTAATTGCAAATTTTAAATTATTCATCAGAGCAGACTGATGTTAATTTGTAATTAAATCTATGTCATTGCTTTCATTTCTTTTCGCAAGTTCCAAAATGAAGAGCTTACCTCCCTTTCAATTCAATATGGCCGACTCGTGAATAAAGCCTAGCCATACCATCAAGGTTGAGTCAATGGCAACATACGCATTAATAAGAAAAGTATATACATGTAGGTCACTTTATCCAGTCAGAATTCATTGTAAAAAAGGAGCCTTCAACTGAAGTATAATGTATCGAATGGGAATGTCTCATGCCTGTATACATTATGACAGCTACAACAAAGAGCCATTGTACCTGGCGTAATTCCTCGGTGAACTTTGTGAAGACCATGAACATCAGAACAATCTCAAAGACTGAGACTTCTGGATGAAAGTTGGACAGCATGATGTAGCTGAACAGCACCAGAAACGCCATGTGGGAAATCTATAGAATAAGCAGAAAAACACCTCTATAGACTTCAATTCTAAGTGTGTGACGAGTCGCATAATTTCTTTCTTCTTTAAAAGTGCATTTCGGGATACTCATGTATTTTTTAAATTAAAATTGCAGTAAAATACAGAATAAAGTTGAAAATAACAGATATACCTGTAGTTTCCGAGGGAAACGCCATGTTGCACTTAACAAACCTACAAACGCCTTCACAAGCAAATCGTGCAGATACTAACAACTCTCAAAACATTGAGACTTCATATGAATTTATATCAATATTTCTACCAAATTAAAAATTGCGTCATTGTTGCTCCATTTTTATGGAAAGATTTTTTTTATTTCCATAGACAATTGCGATATGTCAAACAGGATTGTAGTGGAGTCCATCACAAGTTCAGTCACAAGTTCAGTCACAAGAAACGGTGGATGAAAAATAACAAAGAAATGCCTTGTCAAAGCTCATGTGAATAGCTTGTGAGTTGAATTGGGACTGGAGGACTTGTGATGGACTTGCAGGGACTTGTGATTGACTCGACTACAGCCCTGAAAAAAAGATCATGACCGATTTGATAATGTGAACATCAAATAGATTTCTGAAGTGATGTAAAAAATAATTAATAATGGAACTGCCGTTCCAAGCATTGTATAGTACAAACGTACCAAAAAGTGCAGTACATTTGCGTAATTTGTAATTACTCTGACATTTATTAATTTGTTAATATCTTTAACAAGATCTTCATTCAAACATAAAACCACTTTGTTAGAGCCCCTTCGGCCTGGGTTGCAGAGTTAACCCAGAATTTCCTAAACACAGTAAAGCCCTTCTGAAAAGCCCCATTTATATGTTTGTGTACATTAGTTGTGCTCGCCTCTTCGAGTCTATAAATCCACTTACCGCATCGTAGCTGAAACATACAACAGGTGCCTCCATGAAAAGTTTCAACTTCTCGTACCACCAGAGTTCGTCCAATTCCCCTCCATATCCACAATTTCTGCAACCGATTCGGAGAAAACGTAATTGTCGCAAAATCTTTACTTAAATAGACATTAAATGTGCGCTCTATTCGCAAAACTCTTGCTCTACCAAACCGTCCAATTCACTTCTGATTAGGCCCCCACCCCCCCCCCCCAAAAGTCGGTCTCTGGTCAGCGCGCGCGTCGATTTTAATCATGCGCGTCAATCTTTTTTTTTCCAAAATGTTCCGCAGTAGCTCCAACAGCGCCCTCTATTGCCGCACCTCCTCAATTTTTTTTTTTACCAAAGAGCACCAAGGAATGGGAAATTGCACCAAGGCAAATGATCGAGAGCACCAAGGCAAATTATGGAAGACACCAATGTACATGAGGACACCAAATAGCAAAATAGTACCCCACCTTGTCTGTACAATCCAAGCTTGGAGAGAAAAAAAAAAAAAAAAAAAAAAAAAAAAACGCCACGTCCCCGCGTCAATTCCGGAACTTTGGTCTGACCAGAGACCGAATTTTTTTTTTTTTGGCCTTATTTGCCAAAAGTCACTTTTTTGTGCCAAGTCTTGTATGTCCACAGCTCACTGACAATTAACAAACAGTACTTCTGGAAGGCGAAGCTAGTGACCTGACGAATGGATCTTATATTTAGGAGTAAAGGTGGCTTAAAACATGCAGTTTGTGGTTATAATCACAATTTTTTTTCTAATTAGACATCAGAGTAGGCTGGTGTTAATTTATAATGAACCTTGTTTACAAAATGTTGCAAAAATCACACTACCAGTTTTTTTGGGGTACTTTCCTGACTTCTAGATTGCCTGTATAAGAATTAAGGGTCTAGCTTACCTGTCGTTCTGAGCCATTCCATTACTGTTACCCGACGTTTTCGCAGGTACACGTCCCTGTCAATGAAAAAGCATTAACATGACTGTGCAATGAGGATCGGTTTGCTTTTCATGCATATCGTTCGTTTCCAACAATACCACCACTCCAAATTCAAGTACATGTATGTTAAAACCTTATTGTTGAAGTGTCAGCTCAGTGGATATTACTCTTTTTGAGAAAACAGTGAAAAAAACATGCACAAACCTTTCGATCACGAAACACGATTTCGTCCATATATCACTCTTTCCAAAAATCAGTAAACTGACAGACTGATCAATGGAAATCACCTCATTTCTTGATTTCTTCTAAATGACAGCAAGCCAGACGGAATAATTTCACGTGATGTTGAGTACCAGTAAGGTCATAAGCTTTTTGATGAATTTGGCAAGTTGCTTGTGGGGTATATGCAAATGATCCTATATGCCTTTAAACCATAGAGCTATACAGCCTGTCTAAAAAAAAATGGTACAATCGCAAACGATTTTTTTTTCAATAAATCTCAACATAAGTAAGTCGTTTTGAGCATCAAATTAAAGAAAAAGACTAGGCTTTCCAATAATTTTTGTTTCATCTCATTTGCTTTTGTCAATCTAGAGATAACTCCAGTTTACTGCGGAACACAAAAATCGAGTTTGTTTCTTTTGCCAAGTTGCAATCTTTTGTGAGCTTCAAGACAGCATGGCACAGTACTAGAAACAACTCTGCCCATGCATAAAAGTGGCACAAAATCGATTTTGGTGTATCGCACTAAATTGATTGTATCTCTGAATTGACAAAAGCAAATAAGATCAAACAAACACTATTGGAAAGCCCAGTCTTTGTTCTTTAATATTGTGCCAAGTAAGAATGACTTATTTTGAAATTTCATATTTAACCAATTTTTTTTCTGATTGTACCATTTTTTTTTGGAGACAGGCTGTATTAAATAACTAGAGCGCTAACTCCTCATGCTTACGCGCGGAGATACTTTAAAGCCGTCCTGGGGGCAGACATTTTGAATTCATGTGCGTGTTTTGTTTGTAGTACCTAATGAAATGAATTTTGAAAAATGTATTCTCAATGCAATGCGCAAGTACAACATACGCAAACAAATACACAAATCATCTGCATCAGATACGAGCATGTGTTTGCGTTGTTTGTGCAGAGGAAAATGCTCATTTACTGATTGTGTGTTTCAGTTTTTGGGCGTAAACAGGCTTATATAATCACACCTGTATAGAATAGAAATGCAGATATGCAAATATCTGTACAAAAGTCGTACAAAATTACGAGTTTTCCATAGGTTTGTGCACAAACATGGATGTGCCCAGCAGGCATCACTTTGTACATCGAGTCAGCGCTCTAGTAATTGAATATAACGTATAGCTGATTATATTAAATTACTAGAGCGCTGACTCGATGAACAAAGTGATACCTGGTGGGCGCATCCATGTTTGTGCACAAACCTATGGAAAACTCGTAATTTAATACGGCTTTTGTACAGATATCTTCTGTACCTTTTTCCTTTTCAGTGGAACACTCGTGTCATTCTCGGCACAGAAGGTTATCAGAAAGGTTGAGAAGAAGGGAAAGAGCAGACACAGGAAGATCTATAGAAATCACAACATGATAACACAGGACCATTACAAGGAAGCAATTACAATACATGTGTAACAATATATATTTACAGACATGGGCGTCGCCAGGATTTTTTTCTAGGGGGGGGGGGGCCAAGCAATCTGTTCCCCAAAATCTTGTACTTTCCCTAGCATATTCTCAATTTATATTTTTTTCGAGGGTGGGGGGAGGGGGACATTTGCCCACCCCACCCCCATTGACACACCCCTGCAGACACCCATTTTGTTAAATAAATTAATAGCAAATATGACTTCATGACTTATTTTTGGCTTTTCCAGGCAAGCGCCCCCCCCCCCCCCTTTGCCCCATCCTGGTGACGCCCATGTTTACAAAATGTATTCAATTTTGTAGGAAAATTACAAGAAAAAGTCTGCGACAATTTTCAACGTGGATTAAGTATTCTACTACCATATCGCACAGTGGGAAACACGTTCATATTTAAAAACAAAACAAAAACAAAACAAAACAAAACATTCAAGAGGAAAATGTTCTATTTACCCTAACTAGAGAAAAGTAATATGTTTCAGCAAACAAAAATATCTTTGAAATTAAAAAAGAAAGAAGAGAAATCAGCCTTTTCCTCAGACTTAAATATTATTTTTGTAATAAATGTTCTGGTAGACGGTAAATTTTTCTTCCTCTTCCCTGGCCATGCATTTGTATACGGCTTATACACATTCGTGTGAACACATACGTCACATACGTAGTGTGGACATTTCTTTGTTTTCGTGTAGTTAAGAAAAACCTGTGAAAAAACTCATTGTACTCACACTATAAAAACTCTTTCAACCCAATTTTTTTTGTGATCCCTAAATTAGTGTTTCTCTTCATCTTGCTACAGATAACCCTCAAATGCCTCTAAACCTGTTTTCCAGAAATGAGGAAACACTGTGTGGACTTGCCCAAGTCCACACAACGTCACTGCTACCTGGTTTATGTGGACCTCTTTTGTTCCGAAGTCCACACAGTGAATGTAATGCTTGTACACTGTGACTAGTTAAATTCCATCGACAGACAAGACAAAAGAGGTAACTTACAGTTCCTTGATTGATTTTGACTGCTGTGCTGGATTTGTGTAGCTGAATTTGCCAGCCATAGAGGTTAGCAATGAATAACATATTTACCCTAAATGTGTGTGTTGTAATAAACAGCCTTCCCATCCAGAGCTCGCTGAGCAGACTCTGCACGCCCACTTGCGATATGAAGAGCTTGCTCTTCGCAGCAGCGGCGATGTCCAGACCCGTGGCACCACCCCACTCCGGCATGACCCGCGCCAACAGTTCCGATGTACGCCGTCTGTCGTCCTCATAGCACATGTCCAGGATATCTACTGCCATCTGCTCGAATTTCCTAGGAAAAGTCGGGTATGATTTCATGAGCAGAGTTGCCAAATAATTATTCACAATCACTCTAAATGGTCAATTTAATTGCTGTTTCTGAGGCTGTTAGGCCTTTTCTTTGATATTAATTTCCATATGAATGAGCAACAAAACAAAAGTTGCAATAACTGCTGCCGTGCTGTTGACAATTCTCTGTGTTCTGTGTATTTCTTTGATGTGCAGTGCTAAAAACAGTGCAACATTCTGAAAGCAAATAATTAAAAATGTTTAATGTTTTTTTCCAATGAAATTGTGTATTACACTAAAGCTTGACTATTTCTCAATCTCCTCCTTTTTACCCTATTCCATCTGGGTCCCTAGATCCAGAAGTCAAACCAATTAAGTGAAAGGGTGTAAATTTTACTTGGGCCGCCCTGACCTGTGATGTCACTGACTTCAATGCCCATTCAATGCTTAAGCCAGATTTACCATGTGCAGGTGAGAAAACCCTTTCAGTTTTTGATTGTATTTCTTGATTTAGGGGCCCAAATGGAATGGGGTAAAAACAAGTGGATTGAGAAATAGTCAGGCTTTAATGTATGATATAATTTCATTGGAGAAAAAACATGAAACAGTTACAATTATTTGTTTACTGAATGTTGCACTTTTTTTGCCAGTCAAAGAGTCATCAATATGCTAAAACACTCTCAGCAGTGGCGTAAATCTGTGCCGGCAAGTGAGGGGTGGGGGATGACCAAAATCCAAATAATTCCCGGCTGTGGAAATTCTAAAGGGGGGGGGGGGTGCCACGGGAGGAACCATATTAAACTCAGGATGCTGTTCGTGATAGTGAGGTACGTCTTTTGTATAATTGCGCGCTTACATGCCTTAACCTTACATCAAAACAGAAAGCTTTTAAAAAAAATGCCCCGCTTTTCAGTGCTATGGAATACATTGTGGTTGTTGGGAAGTCTGAAAATACCTCAAAATCCTTATTTTTTATAATCACGAAAATGTTGGGGGGGGGGGGGATGATCCAATAGCCCATCCACCCCCTGGTCAAAAAGTGGGGGGTATATATACCCCCATCCCCCAAGGATGTACGCCCCTTATTCTCAGTCATACCCACAAAGGCGTAGCCAGGGTTCTCACCATGGGGGGCGGGGCTGGGTGTTACAGTGTGGGGGGGGGGGGAGCCCATTTCTGTTAAACGCGTTAACCACTGTCACTTATACTTATAGGACTACAAAATTTCCAGTGGGGGCAACTTGGGAGGGGGGGGGGGTGATTTTTATTGAAATGTCCCCCCCCCCCCCCATGTCCCCTTCGGCCACGCCACTTTCGAAAGAAAGAAACTAGGAAGCAGATCTGCAGATGACGAGAGTAAATTTCGGTCTAATTTAAGATTGAAATACTTTGAAAAAGAACCTCTCCAGTGGATAATCGAGTATTTCACTGTCGATGGTCAAGTCCCAACAAGTCAGATAGAATACATTTTCACACTTATGATCGGCACTGTACACTCACAAGGTTTTGCGACGGATAAACCTAACCCAAAAATGCCTCTTTACCTGTTTTCCAGGGAGGGGAACATTGTGTGGACGTGGGCAAGTCCAAACAACGTGACAACTGGTTTATGTGGTCATCTTTTCTTCGGAAGTCCACACTGTGAATGTAATGCTTGTACCCCTCAGTGGAAAAAACCATTGACTACTCTATTGTACAAAGCAACTGCCCCATGACTGATGATCTGAGCAGTTGCTAGCATAATGCTTTCGCTACTGAAGGGGGCCTCCGTGATAGAATTGATTGCATGCTGGGATTGTTGTTCATCCTCGGCATGCTGCCTCATACATACTCGGCATGCTGCTTCATATTGGCAGCTTTCTTTGCGTCAATCTCTTCCTGGCGGTTTGACAATTCCCTCAGGAGCTTGAGTGCCACTAGCGCGCCTCCCATGGACAGCTTGCCAAGCTTCCAAAAGACCATGGCCATCGGGATGCGATCCTGGAGCACCGCCCACAAAAACAACTCCTTATATGGGTGCTTGGCTGTGAAACGTGAAAGTTTACAAATAAAGATAAAAAATCAAGAAATGAAAAAAAGGGGCAAGACACAGTGCGTATTTGTCTCGTTCGTTTGTTTGTGCTTTTTGTTGCTTTATAGTAGTTTGGTTTTTAAGTGCATTTTTGTTCGCTTAAGTGTGTTCTATCCCACTACTGGTCAGTCTTTTTGTTTAATGATAAACTGGTTAATATTTATCAGCTGTATTTTCATGTTTCCGTGTTTTTAACGGGTTTTAATTGATGTTAATAGTTATTTATGATGTTAAAAAAAACTTTACTTTTTTCGGTCAGACACATCATTGATGACAGTTTTAACAAACTCTCGTTAATGAATTTTTATTAAACTCCGAAGATATAGAATAAATAAAAAATAACAAAACGTGTAAATTACTCATTTGATTTCTTGCTCTGACTAAAGGCACACAAGGGTTGAAAACTTTTTTTTTTGATAACTCTGTCAAACTACCAAAATTGCACCCACAAACTTTTGAGACCAATATTCACAGGACCTGAGCACAGATTTGAGAAGTGGAATTTGTTTCTTTGAAACACATTTATTTCCTCTTCATGGCAGAAATGGAAAATAATACAGGTATTGAATAAGATGTAAAGGCCAGTAGAGGTGGCAAAACCTTGAAAGCATAGATTATCAGGCATGCCATTGTTGATAACTCATATACTCTTAGAAACTTTACTTACAGCCTCATCAATGTGATATTTCCAACTTGATAGTTTTTTTTTTTGATGTTAGCAAATGTTGTATTTTCCCTTTAAGTTCCAGCTCTTTCCAACCCCTAAATCACCCCCTTTTTTCGCTCAAATTGCTGTAATTGGCTGACCCCTATTTGAAACGCTGCCCCCCAGGTCACGCCCCTAAAAAACACTGTCTTCGCATATAAAGCGTATGCGCACCGCCATTTTGGCAAGGAACCATAAAGGTTGCAGACCATTAAATAAAAGCCAGTATAAAATGATTTGTAAAAAGCGGACGGCAGCCGGAATGGTCGGGACGTCCGGAACAATGATAGTGTGGCGGCCGGTACAATCATGGAACGGCCAGGAAATTAGTTTGAAAAAGAGCGATAGGCCTATCAAAATGGAGGATGTATCGCTCTAGTGCTCTAGGATAAATTAACAGAGCAGAATAATACGCCTGAAGCGTGAGTACGGCATGAGTTACTTGCAGCCTGTACGAAGTCTCACGTTAAATGATGGTCGTGTATTATGTGGGAAGCGAGTATACGTAGCTTGCAACCTGTGCAAAGCCTGCTAGTTGGGTCCGGCATGAGTTACTTGCAACCTGTGCGAAAGCCTCAGGCACACGGTCTTGTAAAAGCCGTGTAACGTGAGTGAGCAACCGGCAACCTGTGCATAATGAGAGCTCACTCCCGAAATGTTCCAATAACGACCAAAGAAATATCACGAAAAAACCCAACCACATGTCACAAAAACTCACTCAACTTGTAGATATAACAACAGAAGACAAAATAGTTGAATAAAAACCATGAACTTAGGTATAATGAATGGCTGGAGAAAGACGAAGAATGAGCAAATCGAGAGCTCTGAAAATATACGTCTTCACGTAGCGCCGCTACGAGAAAAGAGGAATTATGGCGGGTGGGCCGCAAGGTACTGTGGGTAATAAATCTTAGCGAATGGCTAACGCCCTACTTTTTCTGCTAAGTCAATATAGGTGCCATTGAAGTGGAGAAATTAGATCGAAAACCATACTGATTATACTGTACACAAGTTTTCAAGAATCTTGGAAAAATAGGATTGTACCGAAATTGGCCTATAATTACCAGGCTCATCCCTATGAGTCGTGTACGTGTCAAAAATCAGCTCTTTCATGAGACGATCGACATCCTCCAGGGAAAACTTGTTGTCGGAATTCTACAAACGAGTAAAATATTTTTATAATGTCAGTTCAGAATGCCACAAAATTTTGGTCAGAAACACTCTGCCTGAAATGCAGAAAAAAATCTAAGGAAAAAGTAGATAACAGAAATAAAATACTTGAAACAAACAAGCAGTCCTATTTTATTTTTTTTTTACTTAAATACGTATAATCTTGAAAATCTTTCCAATAGTTAATTTATCACTCGTTTCATAAGGAAAGATTCTTTCGATGTTAAAATACTAAGTTCGTTCCTCAACATTCTTTGGCTTAATTGTTGATTCCAATTTCAAATTTGCACAATGTGATTTCATTTTGGGTGTGTCTTGCAATTTACGACTGTAGCATTCTAATTCGTCCCATGTTTGGCAAATTGGTCTCTTTACATTCCGTTAGTGGCTAGCAAAAAATCGCGGTCAGAAATGCTACCAGTCATTTCATTTCGCAAATGGTTAAGCATAAATCTATACAGGAAAAATAATTATCTACTCATGTTTTCATCTGTGAATAAAAGGTAATCTAGTTTAATTATGAACATTCTTTTTTTTGGTATTTTTAAATCTATTTATTGATGAGAAAGGGAAGCTTTGGTTTTCAAATTAAAGTTACGTGTGCCTAATTCTCATGCATGGATTCGTTCCATTGTAATGTACATTGATGTAAACATTCATGGGCTTCGCCAAAAAAAAAAAACAAGCCAAAAAAAAGGGAAAAAAAGAAAGAGTGGTGCGAAATCATATTGTTGTTAATTTTATGGGTTGGGGGGGGGGGGGGGGCAAATGTCCCTGCCTACACTAAAAAAAAAGATCAATCGGGAAAATGCTGGGAAATATAGGGATTTCAGGGGAAAGTGGACTTTGCCCCTTTCTAGAAAAAATCCTGGCGACACCCATGTAAACATTTAACAGCTTCACAGTGTCATGTTCATCCCTTATTTGTCTAATTGACCAAGAAGAAGCTTAGATGAATGCGAATGCTTGATGAGAATTACACTGCTGTACCCATTTGTACAAGTCTGACATTGAAGTAACAATGCAATATTGTGGATCAAAATTAGGGTATTTATCTTTCCAACGTGTATGGTGCACATGTTAAAGTAACAGGGAAAACCTATCATTGAAAATGAGCAGCTACAATGAAATGTAGAGTTCCCCTGATCCACTGAAAATGATATACGATTCAACAAAAGCATTGTTTCTCACCGTTTCATTTTCCTTCATTTCCTCCAATATTTTGAAGACAACAGAGCGATTATCTATCTATGGTACACATAAATAACCAAAAAGTCAACAAATTGAAATCATCATGGAGATAACGCTAAATCTGAGAAAATTAGCTACCGGTACGTGTATTTGTAATTTCCATTATTTTGACTCCATTGTCCATTAATTTATGAGATTGACAACTGAGATTTTAAAATTAACGGGTAAAAGTCCAATTCAAAGCTTTCAAAATTTGTGTTTTCATATCACTTTGCAAATAAGCTTCTTCAGCTGATGTGCTTTTTTTTACACAGGTTAACCAAAACCAGAAAAGTTTGAAAATGTAATACCTAAAGTTACATTAAATTGTAGGCCTATATCAAGAGACGCCCATTGTTTTCCAATTGCTACCGCTAGCCCGAGAGCGTTGATTTGCATAGTTCAGGTATACGTTTCCACTTTTCCATAAAATTCATGGTTTTTGTGGTTTTTCGTATCTGCCATTCTGAACACAGCAGTGGGTACAATGTAGTATTAACAGAGTAACGAATACACAAATGAGCTAGAACAATCGCTAAAGAGGAATACATGTATTTGCTTATCATTATTTACCTCTGTAAAAAATTGGAGACTTAAATGAAAAGATTCTTATTATCCAGCTTTTAATATTGAATATGTTTTTTTTAGAAAAGTTAATCCGCTTACAAGAAGTTATATAGTTTTCAGTGTTTGATTACATGTGTATTAAATGTTTGAAAGAAACACTGGACGTCAACTGCAAGACCCCCCCCCCCCCCCCCACCCCCCCCCCCCCCCCCCCCCCCCCCCCCCCCCCCGCCCCCCCCGGATCAGCGCCTTAAAATTCCTAAAACTTTCAGAGAAGCGTGGTTTTACATTTTGGAGCAAGTTAATTTTCTTTTCTTTCTGGGTAGTCTTTAATGGGTTGGGGATGTGAAACCAACAACCCAATCATCAGATGTAGAATGACATCACATTTTCTAATGGGGGCTTATGGATCTTGATTGTCCCCACTTCAAATTCGTTCCCTTAGGAAATTGCCAAATGAAGCATTTACATCGCAAGGTATCTCCCAAAACATTTTCTAAGCCTATTGTAATAAAGATTTCTGAAGTTACACATTGTACTCACCTCGTTGTACAATTTCTTCAGTTGATCGTTTGTCAGGACTTTCCCGACGTCAATCCTCCCAACCACGATGAAGAACTTGACAAATTTGTGCTGATCATTGACGAGGGCGATGTGCAGTAACTTTTTCACCAAGTCCAAGTTCTAATACATAAATTATGGCGGTGGTTGAAGTTATACATCACATTTACTATCATTTCAATTATAATATGGCTTAATTGTGTAATATGTATATTGTGTCTTTAATCAGGGAATAATTTAATGTGCGCTTATCAGGTTTTAAACACTATGTTTAATACTGGAAAATTAAAATTATGTTTTTTCGAAAAACACCCCTCTAGAAATATTATGGAATTTCCCCGTCGCAAAAAGTGATAAACAATTAATCCTTATATGGAGATTGGCGCGCGCGTTGCGCGTACTGCGCAATGGGGCGCAGAACACAGCTGTGCCGGTGTAGTGCAAATTTAGGACTATGAAACTGAGTCACTGGTAGTATTGTGCATGCCTACGTGAGGATTGTGAATGTTCAACCAATAAAACGGTAAATGGCACCGGATTTCATAGGAGTCCAAATTACATGTGACACTGGAAAAGTGTTTAAGACCAGCCAGCAATTATCATCCGCTCAAGACCGACCACGAGACGGGCTGTCGACCAATCGGAATGGGTAAACTGTATTAGGTATTTAGGAATATCATTTGTCGGTAGAAAAATAAGGTCAGGTAGGCCCTCCATGCAATTACAATCATGCGAAAATGTGGTAAACCAGCGTTTGAATTGTACGCCCACGTAATCACCCAATCATCGTGGTGTTACACAAAATTGTCACTGTTTTTTCGGTGTTCGGTTGGGACATTCTAGTCTTCTTCAAATTAACATCGTTCGTTTATCTAACCTGCCATATCACGCTGTTTTCATCAAAATTGGACTTGGCAGTGTGAATTTGGTTCCCGGTGACAGCCCGGTGCATGTCCTCGTACTGGCGGCGTAATATCTTGTCTGTCTCCGAGTCGTCCGGTCCATGTTGTTGTTTCACTGCAGGGGAAGGGCATTGTGAGAGACTATTATTAGACACTGTGGCTGGTTTAATTTTAAACAAGCCAATGAAAGCCTAGTAAAGCTGGTCCTAAAAGCCCACAAACTTCTTTTCAATTCAGTGTTTCATGTATCTGGTGGACACACTGGGCCGGATTTAGCCTAAAATGCAGGGTAATCCTATACAACAGTACTGCCAAGCTCTCTCCACCAACCAACAATCAAGCTTTCATAGTCGGAAGTAGCGACAGTCCGTCATTGATCCTATCAGGAACAAAGAGGAATATAGGCTGGTGTACACAATGGGCCGAATTATCCCATTATATGGGACCCAACAATGGACTGTATGTCTATCAGCGAAATATTTCGCTTGCCCAATGCCATTGGTGTCTGCTGAGTAATTGCCCTGACCGTCTCCTGGGGAACACAAACTTGCCCCGCAAATGCATCAATGTCGAACCCTAAATATGTGATAGTCTGAATTGGCCCAATCGTTTTCTCTTCAGCCAGAGGGACCCCAAGCTCAGATGATTCACGAAGTGACAAAAACCTGCAAAATTGAAACATTTTCGATTTTGAGTTTTGCCAGCCAATTTATTGCACTTGACAAAAAGAAGAATTTGGCTGAGTTTCAAAGCGAAATATTGTTTACTTTTGTAACTATCGTAAACAAACATTTGAAAAAAGCCTGAAATCCGTGTTTTTCTGTTTTCACGAAGTGACAAAAATTACCTCGTTAGCAGGGCCAGAGGAATAATGCATTTCTCTACACATGCATTAGGATGGGAGTGGACGCGCACGCCGTGAACGATGTCGATAAAGAACAGACGCGCGCGCGCTGCAGTGACGTCAGACGCGTAAATGTAAAAATTTCTTAAAAAGGTTTTATGATTACACGAAGTGACAAAGAGTGTGTACAACTTCATGGGATAAAAAAGTGAGGCCTCTATGTTTTGCTGTTTTCACGAAGTGACAAAAACCTTAACTGATCTTTATTAATGAATTACAGTTTAATTAAGAGAGACTTCTAATAAACAACTTTGAATTAGCAAAGAACAAAGCATACGTTACTTGACAATGAAAGAATTAAATAAATCCATAACTAAAAACTAGTCGAAAAGGTGTTTTGAAAAAATGATTAACTTCCAGGCGATTATCTCGGAATGACCTTTTGCATGATATTGAGGTTTTTGTCACTTCGTGAAACACCTGGCAACAGGCGCGGTTCTACGGGGGGCTAGGGGGGGCTGTAGCCCCCCCAAAATTTTGTCTAGCCCTCCCAAAATAAATTCCGTAAAAAAAAAAAATTGCATTAGCAAAAAGAAGGATTGTGATTTACATGCGAACGGTCTCCCCCTAAAGAAGAAATAGCCGTGACAAGGGTGCATAATAGTTAATACAGTGTGAATGATTTAAGGATTTTAATGGCGCTCCCCATTGAAAATATGGCATGAGCCCATGAAAGGTAAGCCTGGTTGCAATTTGATTTTTATGACGGAAAACGTTGACTTTGCAAACGTTTACCATGGCATTCCGTCATTGTCTTACGTCATGTGTACGGCCGGGTTTGGCCACTGTACTACTACTGGCGCGGCAGTGCGGTTGTCAGCCACGGACCATTGTCCGTGGTCAGACGGTAGATTATCCGAGTTAGAAAGATTCCTATATCTGGCCATCACTATTTTTTCCCTTCAGTGACCTATCATCATCAGAAAGTGATAAAATGTAAAAAGTACAAATTCACTTGGGAAAAATATTGAAGTATTTACTGAGAGAACACTTAGAAATGTTGAGACCATGCAGTCCATATATACGGTTTGTGCACGGGGATGGCCAGATATGGCAATCTTTCAATCACTAATTTTTCCCGGCAGTTATGACCTAACAGCCATCAGCTGGGGAACATATTGAAGCATTTACTGAGAAAACACTTTGATTTTTTCAGACCATTTTCATAGGGTTTGTGCACATGGGCGTCGCTGGGGGGGGGGGGGCAAGGGAGAGGGTGCTGCCCCCCTCCCCGGAATAGCAACAACAACAAAAGAAGAAGAAAAGGAAGAATAAAAAAAGAAAAGAAAAAGAGGCTCAAAGTCATATTTGTGTAAATTTAATGGGTTGGGGGGGGGGCAAAATATCCCTGCCCCCCTCTAAAACTAATAAATCAAGAATATGTTGAGAAATACAGGACATTTTGGGAAAAATTAGTTTTGCCCCCCTTTAGAAAAAATCCTGGCGAAGCCCATGTTTGTGCACAGGGTCACCATGGTCACTGTCATGGTCATCATGTCCGGGTATGAAACTATATAGCTTTATGATAGATGATTGCACTGTAATTTACTCGACACTGCCACCATCACTTCCCTGAACTTGATTAACATCTCTGTAGGCCTGGTCTTAAATAGTTTGTGATGAGATTTTGGCAACTTTTCATGCTAAACCGTTTCATTTATTTTGTCATTTGTCCCAACAGAGTGCATGATATTATGAACGGTGGTCAAGCCGGCTACATCAATGATCCAGATGGAAAAGCAACAGAAACTCAACTGAAAGAAGGCAATTTTAGCCTTGTCTGATAAGTGCTGCCGATGCCAAGTGTGGACTGATATTCTGGCTGAACTACCAGATCTTTCATAAGTACGTAGAAAGCAGCTGGCTACTAGTATAGCTGCGGCTCCCTGAATACCTTGTAAAATGGCAAATGCACTGTTAAAGTTATAGAGATTTTTTATTTATAAGACCCCTGTAAATCCACAAATAATGTACATTGTATGAGAGAAAGTTCACTCGCAACCACTGGTGAGCATTGTACATGGTGGGCGTGTACTGCTGCTCGACACCCTGGGGACATTGTTGTTTATTTCTGATCGAGTTCTTCGTTTATTTCTGAGTTCGTATATATTTTTGAGTTGATCGTTTATTTCCGAGTTGATCGTTTAATTCTGAGTTGTTCGGTTATGTGACCGAGTCGGTTGTTCATTTCTGAGTTGATTGTTTATTTCTGAGTTGATGGTTTATTTCTGAGTTGTTTGTTTATTTTTGAGTTGTTCGTTTATTTCTGAGTTGTTCGTTAATATTTCTGTGTATTTTCGTTTATTTCTGTGTATTTCCGTTTAATTTTGTGGTTTTGTTTAAATTTTGTTGTCTTTTTTTTGCCCTATTGGCCGCCCATACACGCGCGCTGTTTTGCAGGGCAAATTCAATTTGTCACTTCGTGAAAATTCAAACACCTATACGCGCGTTGTTTTTGCCCCAAAGAACAAAGTAAGCAAGTTGGAATTTTTCTCTTCGTGAAAACTAAAAAAAAGAATCACTTGAATTTTCTCTACAAGGATTGTCATGTTTCATTGACCAGAAAAATGGTATGTAGACGGCCTTCTTATGGCCCTACCAGGTACTCACCCTCATCGGAACCACTTTTGGTAACGACAGCAGAATCGTCGAGTCCTTGTGGGGCACTCTCCATGCATCTTAACTCATCTTTGGCTGGCATCAGCTCCCTGGTGGTCACCATGGAAGCTTTCATGAAAAAGTACCAGATTTTACCAAATCACCCATAGTTAAGGTTACCATGGTAAATTGATAGTATAACCATGGTTATCAAAAAATACATTTTTTTACCATGGTTTTCATCATGGTTGTAATATGTTATTGACTGTAAAATTATGGTGAAACGGTAGGTCCCATGGATCTATCATGGTTTCTTTTTGCTTTTTATTGTAAAATGATGGTTACCACGCTTTTACCATGGTTTCACTATGGTCCTGACTGTAAAACGATCATGGAACCGATTGCTCCAGAAAATACTCACGGCTGCACATACGCGACGGCGGCTCCACTTCCAATTCCCCTTCCGTGATGAATTCCTCTTCCATATCTGTAGGCGGAGCTTGAGACATCATCGAAGTCACTGGGAGAGCCCGTGTGGTGGTGGAAGTTATACCATGGAAGCAAAAGTACCATGATAGCATGGAGTATAAACCATAGCGCTATATTAAATTACTATATCTCTATGGTTGCAACACACACCACTGGTCTCCCAGCAAGGAACCACAACAGATAATTAACCGTAGCCACGCTGCTGAGCTCAAGGTCAGACTTGAGACCACATCAGCCCCTAGCTGTAAGGACTGTGCAGTGGCCGTGTCATTATACAACAAAGAAAAACACTTTGCCAATTTTTCTCTTTACTTGTTTAAGGAACATGTAAACCCAACGGAGAGCCTACATGCACTGACCAGAAAAATGGTATTTAGACGGCCTTCTTATGGCCCTACCAGGTACTCACCCTCATCGGAACCAGTGTATCCATCTGCATATGAACGCTTTACACTTTTGGTGACGACGGCAGAATCGTCGAGTCCTTGTGGGGCACTCTCCATGCATCTTATGGCTGGCATCAGCTCCGTGGTGGTCACCATGGAAGCTTTCATAAAAAAGTACCCGATTTTAACAAATCACCCATGGTTATGGTTACCATGGTAAATTGATAGTATAACCATGGTTATCCAAAAATACATTTTTTTTACCATGGTTTTTATCATGGTTGTAATATGTTATTGACTGTAAAATTATGGTGAATCGGTAGTTCCCATGGATCTACCATGGTTTCTTTTTGCTTTTTATTGTAAAATGATGGTTACCACGCTTTTACCATGGTTTCACTATGGTCCTGACTGTAAAACGATCATGGTTACCATGATTTTCCTGTGATTTCACTACAGTTTTGATTACGTAGCAATGGTTACCATGGTTTTATCATGAATTTGCTATGGTTTTGACTGTCAATTAATGGTTACCATGGTTTACTATGGTTTCACTGTGGTCTTCGAAATGACACGATGGTAATCATGGTTTCACCATAGTTTTTTTCCATGACGTATGTTGTTAGAAAACGTTTACCGTGCTTCACCATGGTTTTACCATTGTACTAAATTTTACTTTGATGGCACAGCTCTTAATATCCGTGATACCAATTTTGTCAAACCACATTGTACTGCGTTTGATCCGTCAAAAAATAATTTCACTGTGATTTCATGTACATTTATAATTTATTATTTTCTGCCAAGTAGGTTTACACCACATTCAATGTACAATTTAGACTACATACATTATCTAACATTATTTTCTATGTTATGTGCATAAATTATTATTTTTTTTTTGTAAATTAAAATACGTACGTCATTATCTAATGAAAAGGTGGATTTTATTATAAAGGTTGTCAAAATTTTCCACGGTGGGCATATTAAGTACCTCCCCCATTTTAAAAATGGATGCCACGCCTCTAAAAGGGTAGGTTTATGATGGCTTCACATTCGAAAAAAGAAAAATTCTCATGAATATATTGTCTGTGTGAAGTTTTATCCGTTTATGAAAGGTAGGCACAACTTTTTTAAAGGAGAATTATGACTCCCCCCCCCCTATTTTAATATGGCTGACACGCCCCTTCAGGGTGTGTTTTCGATGGCTCCACGTCTGAATTTTTTATTCTCGTGAAAATCAACGTCTGTGGAAACAGTTTTTCTATGGTGGGCATAACGAAAACCCCGTCCCCTTTTTGTCAAATATGGTTGCTACGCCCCTAAAAGGGTGTGTTCGAGACTGCTCCACATCTGGATTTTTTTCTCAGGAATATAAACATCTGTGGGAAGTTTTATTCGTTTATGTAATGTGGGCACCATTTTTCCCAAAGGTGGGCATAATAATTACCCCCCCCTTTTTTTTTAAATGGCTACCACGACCCTAAAAGGGTGAATTTGTGATGGCTCCACATCTAAAACATTTTCTCGCATGAATTTAAACATATGTGCCAAGTTTCACGCTTTTTTGAAAAAGTGCACAATTTTGTGACATATCCGCTGGACTATTTAGAGGATTTTTTTGTAAAGGGAAATAAAGTCCGAATTTCATTACGTTCGAAATCATTTTCTTTCCTATTTTCTATTTATTTTCATGTTTTTAGGAGAAGTAAACTTGGACAAACGGATCACACAAGTAGGCCTAAATTGGTAGTTGCGTCGTTGACAAGAAATTGTAGACAAGGGTCTAAAGAAGAGAGATGCTTACCTTGCATCAAGACAGTGAGAATGGTGCCGTTATCCTTTTTTTGCTTCGGCAGATAGATTTTGATTAGATGACGTCGTTCGATAACAGACTGAATCTGCCCATTGAATTGATGAACTGCAGTGTCTTCTGTCAAGTGGAGCTTCCTTATCAAAATTTTAACGGCCTCTTTTCCGAACTGTTTCTGATCGATCCTGCATTTGTGAGTGGGTAAAGCAACACTGAAGATGAGGGCAACTTTTGGAAAAACAGTTAATACTAATCTGAAATCTTTCTAAAGTCTATGCCCTGAGAAGTAGGCCCACGATTTGTGAATAAGAAAATTAGATTCATGTCTGACTCTGGACACTGACTAGTTGAATTTATGTTTTGGATTGTCATTTCAAGGGCCTTTTGGTGCCTTTTTGGTTTTTATGCTATTGCAAATATCCATATTCGTGAACACTTAGATGTCATTCAAGGCGGAAACTTCGGTTTCACATCTGCTTCCGCATAAAACGTCACTAGAATATTTATAGTTGTTTCCTGTGGTTATTTGTATGCTCTGGTAGTGGTTCATTATCGTTTCAGTATTATGACAGTATAAGTAAATAAGAAAACTTTACGCACAAAATGTTTTCAATAAACAGAATTTAGGATTACAATTTTATAGACAAAAACTTCAACAACAGTGCCCTCAGTTCTCAGAAAATATTAAAATGTTTACAAAAGTGCACTTTGAGCTATGTAGCATTAATGTCTGTGGTCTGGAGCTGGACTGGTTCCGGTCTCACTTATCAGAGAGAAAGCAGGTCACTCAAAAAGGTGAAGTTGTACATCAGATGCTTCTCACTGCATTTAATTTGGTGTACCTCGCCAAGGCACAATTACTTGGACCATTGCTGTTGTCCATTTTCATCAACGATCTGCCATCAGTGGTGTTGAACATTCTAAAATAGTCCGGTATGCAGAAGAAACTGCAGTTTTTACTCTAATAAGGATGTAAATCACACAGTGGCAAACTTGTATTTGGACCAATTTGTTGCTTTCAATATACTTTAGTACATTTACTGTAGTTTCATAGCAGTTTTGTTTAGTTCATTTTGTATAGTGCTGTGTGGTTTTTCACCTCTTTTTTTTCTTTGGTTTTTATTCTTTTAACTGAGTTTTTTGTAATCCCAAAATTTTATCCAAGTTCCAACTGTTTATTTTTTTTTCCTTGGCAAATTCTTTTTGAGTGTTCTATTTGTTTTTTGATCCAAATTGAGATATGAGATATTTTTGCCTGGAAGTATTTCTGAAAACTAGTTTTTGCTTAAGGATAGATATTGTTTTTGTTCGGAAGATTTTTTTTTTTTTGAGACAAATTAAATTTGTTTGAAAAGTTTATTTTTGTTCCTTGATTCCTTTTCTTTCTTGTTTTTGTCCCAGTTAAAAAAAACTAAATCGCAACCTAATCATTTGAACCAGGATTTTTTCTTTAGTGAACCATTTTTCTACGCTACTTTTACATAACACGTACAGTACTGAAATTGATTAAGGCAAGGAACTTGCAAGTCAAAGGGTCCAAAAATGTTGTTGTGATCAATTGGCGATAATTGTGCAGTGATACGTGACTGAAATTAAATGAAACTCATAGGGGTTGAGGCCAAGGATGTGGAGTATCTGCAGAATCAAAAAAAATCAAAATTGACTTCATGGTTTTGTAGTTATTTCAAAATAGTCAGACTGGCACTTTTTTTAGGACATACTGTAGTTTCAACTGGTACCAGTTGAACTGGAATTTGGTGACTGGTTCAACTGGCTCCTGTTGACTCTATAAGAGTTCCTAGTTGATGTTTGGTTTGTTTGACTGGTTTCAATTAACAGATTTCTGTTGAAACCAGTTGAATTACTAGTTGAATATCAGTTGAATCTAACCGGTTTGAACCTGTTGAAACCAGTTGACATTTGAACCAGTTTCAACTGGAATTTTCTGCCGGGCTTTAAAGACTTTAAATATACACACCTCTCGTGAGCATCCAAGATTTCAACCAGCACCTCGGCGGCCCCTTTGGATTCTGGGAAGACGACGATCGGAATGTTGTTATTGGCGGCATCCGCCAGAGTCTCGAAGATGGTGACGTCACCGCCAAGGAGGAGATAGACAGCAGGAATTGTGGCTAAACATTGAAAAATGTAGAAAAAACACTGCAGTTACATGCGGCAATGGCAACGTCAGTAGCAAAAGTAACCGTGAGATGAACAGATCTAAACATCAACTTTGTTAAAGAGGGACATAACAACAGCAGATGATTTTCCCACGACTGCAATTAATACAAAAATTGACTGATCATTACGAGTGGAATAGTAAATCTATAGCCTCCCTCGGTGATCCGAAGAGCGTTCTCTTATTTCCGGAGGCGAAGTCAGTTGAACATTCCTGAAGTTTTAGATTCTTTTAAATGAGATCTTGACAAATATGTCTGTTGCAGTTTGCCCAAATTACCATTTGTGACGTCTTCTCCTATTTTCCAAGTCGCTATCTTGTTGATCAGTTGGTTCCTTGTCTTGGCTATCAGTTGGTTCCTTGTCTTGGCTTCAATACCCAGCTCCTGTCCGTCGTCATCCACTAAGATGAAGTGAGTGTGATTCGGTTCAAGCATGCTACCCGGCTTTTCGGCCGTATGTGCAGAATAGTCCAGTACTATCGGGGTACTCTGAAAATGATGAAAAAAGCCAGCTTGGTGTCTCTGTACCTATCTCACTGACAAACTGACTAACTCATCACTGACCGACTGTCACTTGTGAGCCGGGCAGTGCCATCGTATAGGATTACCTCGTTGCACGATCGGTTTTGGAGCAATGAAAGGAATAAAAATCAACCATGTAAAACATATACGTGTACCCATGCCCAAATCAAAAGAAGCAACAATAAATTATTAAATTATTACATGCGCTAACTTTCCGGTATCTTGGATAACCTTATCTACACTCATAGTCTAACTACTCACAAAGGTGCTCAGCCGTGTGACCCGAGAAAGTTCACGCGACACTTATTTCACACACTTTTTAATTCCATGTAATGGTCATAGGGATGTCCATAAAAGGTTGAAAAAAATAAGCTTTGTTGTTGACAGGGTTTTATTTGTTAAGTTACCTTTGGAGGCTTCGGGTGACGCTGAATTTCTCTTTCTGATGCAGGACACTGAGAGGTGCTACGCCTATTGCCACCAGATCCCTCTGCTTGATTAAAGCGCGACCCGTGGCTTCTTCAGCCAAGGCCTCCCCTATGCTCTTCACCAATCCAAGCTGGAGACCACCCGTCATCAACCAGACATCTAAAGTTTTACGGAAAAAAAAAGTCAAATTTAATCAAAACTGTAAAACATACAATCAGCCCCCCCCCCCAAAAAAAGAACCAGTCAACGAAACCTAGCATGGCCACACAAATTTACGAGAAATAAAATGAGCAAAACTCTATTTTCTGCTCCAATATTTAGCAAAATTTGGAGAAAAGAAACGAAAATAAAAACAGGATAGGGTATACAGGCAGAGGCAGTTCTGAAAAGTGCTTCCTCCGAAAATCTTTTAATCTATAAGACTTTTTAATGGAGGCAAAAATAACTGTGTTTTCAACTTAAAAAAACAAGGTCAAATGTCGCCACGGGAGTTTTCCTCAGACACCCCACCCATACACGCAATGGATATATAAAAAAACAAAGAGTTATTGTTTTACCCGTGCATAAGCGTTAACCTTGAAACCTCGGTGAGGGAAAGTCGAATGAATATTTTTCTAACACTCAAAGTTTCAATAAATATCTTGCACAATACACAAGTGTTGAAGTCAAGTCCTTCACGAGGCAAGTCATCAGAAAATCCCGAAATTCGATCACAAGTCCATTTCTAATTAACATATCTAGAGGATGACCAATGCCTTTGTCGCAATTAATTTCAATGGATTCGGACTTGATTTAGTTCTGGATAACTTGTGATGGACTTGTGGTGGACTTGTGGTGGTCTCGTGATGGACTTGAATGGACATGTGAAGACTTGTGATGGACTTGTGGGAACTTAAAATGGACTTGTGATGGACTTGTGATGGACTTGTGATGGACTTGTAATGGACTTGTGATGGACTTGTAATGGACTTGTAATGGACTTGTAATGGACTTGTGATGGACTTGTGATGGACTTGTGATGGACTTGTAATGGACTTGTAAGGACTTGCGAAAAAGTTGTGATGGACTTGTGATGGACTTGTGATGGATTTGTGTTGGACTTGGGATGTACTTGGGATGGACTTGTGCTGGATTTGTGATGGACCTGTGAGGACTTGGGATGACTTGTGATGGACTTAGGATGGACTATAGTGAGCACTTGTGATGGTTTTGTGATGGACTTGTGGGGACTTGTGAGGACTCGTGAGAACTTGTGATTGACTTGTGATGGACTTGTGAGGACTTGTAATGGACTTGTGAGGACTTGCGATAAAGTTGTGATGGACTTGTGATGGACTTGTGATGGACTTGTGATGGACTTGTGATGGATTTGTGTTGGACTTGGGATGTACTTGGGATGGACTTGTACTGGATTTGTGATGGACTTGTGAGGACTTGGGATGACTTGTGATGGACTTAGGATGGACTATAGTGAGCACTTGTGATGGTTTTGTGATGGACTTGTGGGGACTTGTGAGGAATCGTGAGAACTTGTGATTGACTTGTGATGGACTTGTGATGGATTTGTGATGGAATTGGGAGGACTTGTGATGAACTTGTAATGGACTTGGATAGACTTGTTTTGGACTTGAGATGGATTTGTGATGGATTTATGATGGACTTGGGATGGACTTCGGATGGACTTGTGATGGATTTGTGATGGACTTGTGAGGACTTAGGATTGACTTGTGAGCACTTGTGATGGCTTTGTGATCGGTTTGTCATGGACTTGTGAGGACTTGTGAGGACTGTCGTGAGGACTTGTGATTGACTTGTGATGGATTTGTGATGGATTTGTGATGAACTTGTGAGGACTTGGGATGACTTGTGATGGACTTTAGGATGGACTCGACTGCAACACTGTGATATACCCACCGGTACTCAGGACTGCCTCAACCAGAGCCTCACAAATTTCTTTCGCCACGTCACTGGTCATGCACGCATCCGATTTATCGCCTCCTAAGATGCAGATGAGCAGCTTGGGAGGTTGCATGGCCCACTTGTTTCTCAGAATATTCAGGATGTCGTCTATGCTCAAGGACTGGTCAACTAATAAAAACTGTAAGAGGGCAATTATAATAATAACTGTATTTATATAGCGCCTTTTGCCAGAGGATTCAAAGCCTTGGGAGAACGCAACCAAAGACAGGTAAATGAAGTATATGAACATATGAGACCCATTATGTAGCACCTTTTTGCTAGGTGCTGCCGCACATACTTGAAACACCGGGCAAACCCCTTCTCTAGTCTTAGCGATGTTACTGGGTTCTTTAACGTGCATTACACAACACACGGGACCTACGGCTTTACGTCCCATCTGAAGGACGAAGCAATAATGGTAAAGTGCCTTGCTCAAGAGCACAAGCACCATGTTCGAACACCATAACCATTGGACCACAGCGCCCCACAACTTAGGGCCTAGGCCTACTCTATTCTATAAATAATGGTAGTGGATATTTTGCCGGAGGTAATGACGGCAAACTAACGATTACTAAAGGTTTGCCGGCGGCAATCCACATCAACAGAGGGCGCTGTACTCTTTAAAATAGGGCTGAATTATAAGATGTATTAAATTCCCACCAAAAGTTGTGTAGCACGTTTGGTGTAGTGGTTAAGCAAAGGCTCTAGTAAGCGGGATGACTCGTGTTCGATTCCGACCGCACCACATTTTAAAGGTTTTTTTTCTCATCCCCAAATAAATTAGAATATTCTTCTTTTATTATTTTTACATGTATCAAACATTTTTTGCAGAGTATTACATTTTCTTTTTCAGATTTGTGGCTCTGGAGGATTTTTTTTAAAAGGGAAATAAAGTCCGAAATTATAAAATGGTCTGAATCCCATCTTGTGAATACGAGGTAACAACGATAATTTTAGCATGGAGCCAGACTAAAACTTGTCACCGGAAAATGTTTAAGTACAAAAAAACAGTAACTGCGCATGTTCAGTGCATATCCGGCAAACTAACGTTTACTAAAGGTTTGCCGTCTCCGGCAAAATATACACTGCCATAAATAATACCAATTCTCCGACTATGAGTATGAATGATGAGTTAAGTATGACTAGGCCTATGGCTATGTGACGAAAAAGCCCCAAATCCCATTTTTTTACTTAAGTTTCTTCACTCTAAATCTTACCTATATTATCCTAGAGATCTGGCATTTTCGTCTGGTAAATTCCTGTTGTCTTTTTAGGTTTTATTTCCAAGTAGTTGTGAGTATTTTCCTGCCGAAATTCTGTGTGTGCACTCACGTGTTTGTTTACACATGTCAGCTGTGCTATTAATAGCATGATGGTAAAATCCAACATGGCTGCCATTTTAGCAGCGGCTACAACGTTTGTGATTGGATGAAAGTTCTAAAATTATTTCTGGAAGACTGGGACTTCTAACAAGTAATTTATATTTGTAGAAAGTTGAGACAAATATTTATCTAGCTTCTTTAGATGTTAAGTTGTCTGGTTTTAAGCAACTGTGGAAGTTAGGAAAGTTTTGGTATCTTTTCTGTCAGATATCTTCTGGAAGTTCAGCTGGTAAGTCAGTGACTGACTCGTGAATATTCATATCTGTGACATCAATGAATTTTCTTCAATGAACTTAGGGTTTGTTTACATTCATTCATTCACTGGTAAAAGTGAGCATTTTTGTGATTCTGTATAATTTATTCACATTTTTAGAGCACACTTACTGTAAGGAATGTCTTGAAGATTAACTTAAGCCTTTTTGTGGAATATTTTGCTGTATAATTTTGGAGAAAGTTAGGGGAAACTATCGCTATGTGAATTCAGTGTACTATGAGTTTTACAAATGTGGGCGTGGCCTATTTACTAGCGCGTACTTTTGACTTCACACTGGGCGCGGAGGCCATAGGGTATAAAAAGGACAGATTTTGTTCAATCTGGGTTCTTTGGTTGGTGTTGGTCTACTTGCTGCGAGCTGCACTGTTGATCTCCAAAGTTTGCTTTTACATATGGTGTTTTGGCAAGTTTTGGGAGCTAGCGGAGATACTTAGAGAGTAAGTCATCTTTTACAACTTGAGTTGGGGGAGCCAACTTGAATTAAATTGGGGAGCCAATTTTTGGGGAGCCAACTTTTTGGGAGCCAATTTTTGGGGAGCCAACTTTTGGGGAGCCAACTTTTGGGGAGCAAAGTTTTGGGGAGCAAAACTTTGGGGAGCCAGAGTCGGAGAGTGGATATCTAGACAGTTAGTAACTGTGATTTACATCAGTTGGAGCTGATATTTTTAATTTAAGACACCGACAGGAGTCAGGGGATCTTGAGATATATTTGGAGTCAGGCTGCTGAGTCGGATTTCATAGAGGATTAAGAGAGGCCTGGGGCCTAAGTGTATTATTGAGGATTAAGAGAGGCCTGGGCCTAAGTGTATTTTATCGAGAAGATAATCTAAGTTGGATCCTGAGGAAGCTTGTGTATTTATTTCCTAAGGATAGAGGCTTAAACGATGCCTATTTGTGAATTGATTGGACAAGTTTAAACGATACTTGGTTCAATTTTTGTGACTCGCCCCATCCACCTTGGTGTACCGAGGATTCGTACAACTTAGGTTAATTTATTACACTGAGTAAAGGAATAGTACTGGATTGTAAATACAGAGTGTAAATATACCTGACTTGATTTAAATAATTATTGTTGCGGATACAACAAGTTTCTTATAACTTGTTATTGTTGATATTATTGTTGCGGACCAGGATTAAACAATCCTTACGAGTTTCGTTCTGAATTTCTGGATTCCTGTCTGTATTTATTTAAGTCCTCCTCTCCGCTTCGTCATATATTTTGACTGATCTACGTCAGCTATCGAGAATTGCTAAACCGGAGAGGCGAAACTCCGGAGGTTTAGGCCTTAACTATTTCGCCTGGTGGCAGCGCTGTCTGGGATTATTTCCCCCGCCCCTAAAGATAATTTGTTATTTCTTAGACAGCCGAGGACAGGTGCGCATCTACTCATTGCGGTAGTTCCTCGGTCCACATATCTTCTCCCCCCCCCCCCCCCCCCCCCCCCCCTCGCGACACGCACGACGTTATTTTCGCCACATCTAGTTCTTGGGCTCCTTAAATCTTTGTGCCATAACATTCAACGAACGCTGGGTTACTTCGCGGTTACCGCTCCATAGTCCGGTTCAATGAGCCGAATGTTCGTTAGTCCAAAGCTTCGTTAGTCCGTAGTTGAACCTTCGGGCTAATTAACCTTATTCTAAATTCGGAATATCGAACCTTAGGACAAATGAACCTTCGGATTAATTATCGAACCTTTGGACTAATAAGGAACCTTCAGCTTTCGCATCAAAATGCTCGGATTAACGAACCTTATTTCATTTGGGGACTATAATGAACCCCCGGGCTTCGGTAATTTGTGTGTTCGGACTATCGAACCTTCAGATCAATTAATACCTTCGGACTATCCAGTGGACCACGAATGCCCAATCCTCCGGCACACGATGGCTCACGAGAATTCCCAACATTCGCATTTCTTAAAATAATTCATGATTGCGCCGCCGATCGCACCCTCAATTCATGCCTAGTGTTCATTCCCATTGGCCCAACAATCGGCGAGACTGACACAAATACTTTACAAACATTCCCAGTAAATGCTCGGCACTTGTCCGACCCATGTGGGACCTCCTATCCTTTTGACGATATCAATGAGCCCTAAGAATTCCCCCATTTAATTAACAAAAATATCTAATTCTGTTTTCGTATCCAATGCTGAAAATAAATTTTATTTTATTTTTTTTTTCATTTCCACCATTGTGACAACAAGCTTTCACAAAAGTTAACTTACCCTTTTGTCATCCACATACTCTTCCAAACCTTCGAATTTGACGAGGCCTGTGGGAACCTCCTTCTCAGGAACCTCCGCACTGTTGGAAGCCCCATTCATTTCACGTTTTTCCTGACTGACAGGGGTACAATTTGCAACCATATTGACAAAATTAGTATTACTGTTAAAGAAACATGAGAGCACCTATATTTAATAAAAGACTGCTTCAGAGATGAAAGTCAGAGATGAAAGTCAAAATCTTAGGTGGCAGGCTAGGTTGATCCAATATACTGGGTGTCCCCAAAGAAACTGGCCCTGAAGCCACCCCCTTTTTCTCAGCTTTCAAAAAAATACATCACAAATCTCGATAAATTTGTGACAAGTTTATTTCATTAGCTTTTCAACAATGAATAAATCCTTGCAATTGGAAAAATATTGATTGAGTTATGGCCAATTCAAAAAAGTGACTGCCGCAATGAGAACGAGGGCCAAAACTTGCAACAGGGAAAGAGGCAACCATTAGTGGAGGGCAGAGCAGAACAGTAAACATCTAAGTTGTTAAACAAAATTCTCCTTTTCCTTAAAGAGAAATGACCATTGTTGCAAAAAAGTTAAAAAGAAACAAGAAACAATAAAGAAAGATTATAAAATAAAAATAATAAGAAACAAGTGATTATTCAGGCCGTGGAAAATATAAAAAATAAAAGCGCCACTTTTTTTTAATTGGCCATATACTCAATAAATATTTTTTTCCAATTGGAAGAATTGTTTTCGTTGTGAAAAAGAGAGTTGCTTGAGGTTTTTTTTTTTGGGGGGGGGACACCCTGTATGTATACATGTACATACGTGGTAGGCTATACATGTGAACAGCTGAAATTCAAAATTTTTATTCCGGGGGGGGGGGAGGCTGGTGGGTACAGTTGGTACGAGAGGATGGGAGGGAGGGGTTGGGAGGGGGAGGGGTGGGGAGGAGTGGGTAGGTGAGGTGGGGCGAGTCTTACTGTACTGATCTCCAGAGTCTAGCAGCAGTTATCCGAGACATCATTTTAGACGGGAAGTGCTTGATGCCATTCAGTTTCCTCAGCGTAGGTGAGTGCCGTATACCATCGGTACCATCAACCACGGGAATGTCAATGCTAATGTTTCAATAAAGAAAGTAGTCCTCTTTTATTTTGTTTCGATCTCGGAAGGGCTGAGATAATTATTTTTTAGAGCAAGCAAATTTGTACGGCGTAGCGGCGCAATTTCATCATAGTAGAACACTGCTGGCTGGAACACATTTTTGCCCGGCAGTATGGGGGACGGGGCTGTAGTATATTCCAGCACCCCCATCCAAAAAGATGGGGGTGCTGCAGCACCCACAGCACCCCCCGTTCCCGCGGTGCTTGGGGGAGTTCACATTTTTTTATTTTAAATGGCATGATTAAGATTCATTTGTTCCAGGGAGAATCATCTCTTCACATGTTTTCCAAGGGTCTTATCCTCGTTGAACTTTGCTAATCCAAAAATAATTATGTGCAGTTGTTGGATACAAGTAACTTCATCAGTCGCAAAAATTATGTCCGTTTTAATCGAAATTGCCAGAAATTCCCTCTTTGCCCATGCAGGTTCGGTAGTAGCGCAGTGTGGGAATATTACCAAGTAATTTCAAAACCCCTTATCTATAGCAATTACATCTAAATTGACGCAAATTCACACTTTGACCAGGTTAGGTAGTATGCAGTGCAATGAAGGAATATTAACAATGGGCAGTTGGGCTGTTGGGCATGGACACAAATGTTCGCATGACAATCCTCAAAGTACGATGAAAACTTTGTACAATTGTCAATAAGTAAGTTTTGGATGCGTTCCTACTTTGCCGGACAGTATTGGAATTAACTTTGCGCGGATTCCCACTTTGCCCGCGACAGGTGTCTAACGGTGTAACTTACTGTGCCGAACGAGACGTCCCCGGCCCCGACGACATCGTGGTAAAAGTGGTCTCAGTCGGAACAACCACAATCTGTCAGAGCAAAAAGATTGAAGTGAAGTGAATCAAACAACCTGATGTGGACAAAATGTTTCGCCTTGATCAAAAGTTGTTTTTACTGTTTTCCTGAGCTGAAAATTCAACAGTTGAGGGTATGAATATTCTTCTGTGGATTTTGGGTGGTGTCACTTTTGAAAACGAACATCAAAGGAACATGGCCATAATGCCTTGAACAGGAGTTACAACATTATACAACCATAAGCGCACGTTGATATAAAGGCATGCAAGGTATGCACGGCTTTGACACTCATCTGGAAGAAAGAACAAAAGGGAAGGTGATTTCCAACGATTATTATTGACTGATTTCTGAAAATAAAGAGCGCTATTGACGAAATCATGTTTCGTGATCAAAAGGTTGTGAATGGTTTTTCACTTGAAAGTTGTAATATCCACTGAGCTGTGAAAATTCAACAGGTTAGGTTTGAACATTATTTTGTCTTTCGATTTTGAGCCATTATTCTGCACGATTTGAGCGAAAACAGCTTT